TTTCCCAATTCTCATCCGATTCTCAAGCGGAGTACCTTAAACGATTTCTAGATCGATTCGCCATCATTCTGCATCAAAATCCTGATGCGAAATATTTTTTAAATTTTTTGTTCATTTTTGTGATGGGATCCCTTGAAAATGGGGTCTTCCCCTATAGGGTCCACAGTGATGACTATAACTTCCCCAATTCTCATCCGATTCTCAAGTGGAGTACCTTAAACGATTTCTAGATCGATTCGCCATCATTCTGCATCAAAATCCTGAGACAAAATATTTTTTAAATTTTTTGTCCATTTTTGTGATGGGATCCCTTGAAAATGGGGTTTTACCCTATGGGGTCCACTGCTTAAAAAAACAAACAATAAATGTTTGTTTACAGGATATAGAGGTTAATATTGAAGATCATTTGATTTTCCTTTTAATTTATTTATTTTTCAAACTCAGAGTATCTCTCAGTCGTTTTACTTTTCATATTGTTAGAAAAGTTGAATAACATTTCAAGTGTTTATCTATGTACATACATATGTATTCCCTAGCTCTGGTTCACCCTTTGAATAGGCAAAAGCTTTCATTTTCCTTCAAATGTTCGATTTGACACACGAGTTCTACCTGAGACCCCCATACACACCCAAAAGGCCTAATGAATTCGTTGGCAATGCAAATTTCCTTCCAAAAAACACCTTAACGCGTCAAATGAAATGCAAACAGAGCACAAACACTGAGAGATGACGATGCGTAAACAAAAAACAGTGCGGACCGAAAAGGCAGAAACAACAAACAGCAGGCAGCACATGGCAGCATAAACATTTGGCGGTGTCTAAAAATATGTGGTGCACTTGGAGAAATTGTAGTTTAAAAGTTTATTACTTTTTACCAAAATAGATAACCTACAGTGACTTTAGGAGACTATGTATAAGTATCCTATTTCTACAACTTTTGGAAGGTACAACAAGTCCTCAAAGACTCCCTTTTTTAATTTTACTCTATACTTCTTAAGTGTAGGCTTATATTCTAAGATATTCTACGAGAATTATAGTATCAAACCAATTTTTTTAGAATATCTGTTATAAGACATGTTATTAGATCATTTTTTTGTCTAGGAGTAAGCCCTTTAAAATAAGAGCCTATAAATGATGGATTATGTAGTTTCAGGTATTATATAGTATTGCCACAATCGCCATATAATAACCTGATTATCAGCCATTATTATTGATGAATAATGGTAACGAGTAATATTCCTTACCTATGTATATTTTATTGCCAAGTTTCCAGAGTATTTCAAAAGTATTTCCCCTGAATTGACATACAAACCTGTGTTTATCAGAGCCTATAAGTAATAGAATAATAACGGGCATCATATAACCTTCTTGCTTTGAATAACCCTCCATTTCTCTCAGTGGCTTTAGGACAAGTGTGGGTGAGAGTGTGTGGTTACACGTGCAGGAGTGCTGGTCTCAGTAACTATATTTAGAGGAAACTTACCTAGAGGCTGGAATGTTTGCTGCGAATGTCGGGTGAGTGGGCAGAGGCGCCGCCCTGTTGAGCAAAGTGAAAGGGGGTAATGCCAAATGCCAGCAGCTGTGCTCTTGCCGGTTAATGAATGAATATGCATGAGGCAAAAAAAGGTGGCAGGGGGCGGGCGGATAAAGCTTCCAAATACGCAAAATTGTTTTACTTTTCTTTTTGTTTGGCCAAAAACCTGAGGCTATTAAAAATATTGCATAATTAATAATGTTTACAGTTTTTTCAATAAAAAACGAAAGGTACGCAAATATTTGAATAACAAATTGGTAATCTGGACAATCAATATGGAAAACTACTGGGTACTTGCAAAGTCAGTAACTAGAACTAAGCTCTCCTCTAATTTTTCCCCATTTACATATGTCGGGTTTTATAGAGGGAGCTGTGGGTGGAGAAAGTGACTGGGTGGGGGTTGCCCTCATTAATTTGCTTCGCTTATCAAATTGGTTTTGTTTTTATTAATTTTTGTTTGGCTCGAAGCTGACACACAAAAGTTTATCCTGATATTGTTGCCGTCGGTGCCCAATCATGTAGTGTTGTTATTTTTTTTGGCACAATATTTGCCAGACCATTAGCACCATTAACATAATGAATTGCCATTGAACTGCGGCATTGATAGAATCGAATGGAACGGAATCGAGCCGGAGCGATATACCATTATTTCCCACACGTTGGAGCTGTTTGTTTGCCATTTACCTGGCAAGGTGTGCAAATATGTGTGGCGTCTAGTATGGGGGCTGCGGGAAGTGATGACATTGATTTAGAGGGTTCTCAGTTCTCAGAGGTGTTATGGAATTTATAAATCGGTTTTTATATTAGAAATTCAAGATTAAGGTAATGAGATAAAAGAAAGTTATGGGTAGAATGCCATATAGATTGGATAGGGGTTTTCCGATTTGTTTTCAGAGAAAATTCCATAGAAAGTTCCTTACATTTGGCTATATTTTAAGGCTTTCAGATATTAAAAATTCGTATAATAAATGAGGCTTATTATTTGTAAATGATTTTCAATCCCACGATGATTCCTAATGACTTGCAACTGCTCTGAATGATAAACACTTCTTCCGGCTGCGACTGCCTGTGATTAATCATTTGATTTAGCATCCGAATATTCGAATTTTTGATTGATTACGCCCTCAGCTGTTGCCCTAAAACAGTTCAAGCCAATTAAATCCGTTAGGCGGCTGTTATCTGGCTAAGCCCTCTTCTGAGCCAGGGAAGGCGAATGGAAAACGGCTAAGACCTTTAGGCCCTGAATGAATGATTCCTGAAGTGTCGTCTGACAGACGATGACGACATTTATGGTCCTTTGTTGAATGAAAAGTGAGTTTTACATTGCCACAGCAACGTCTAGGGGGCCTTCCTCCCACGACCGGCTTTTCCTGTTGCCTATTTTGCATATGAGGCAGCAAAGTTTGGCTTTATTTTTCGAGGCGGAAGCAAACTTTGGCGACTTTTCGCAGTCTGGGCTGTCACCCCCCGAAAAACTTTTCTTAATTGGTGCCAGCTCTGTGATCTCTCCTCCGCATATATCAAGTGGAAAATCTAAAATTGGTTCTCCATTTTCCATTTTATTGATTTCTCAATCGAATCGTATGTTCGCCGCTGTTCATTCATGATACGTTTTCGCAATGAACCTTGTCGGACTATTTAAGGCTAATGAGGTGTTAAATTGCAGACCACTCTGACCTTGATTCTAAAAAAACACACAATCCTCCCCACCAGGAAAATTAAGAAATATGACTTATAGTTAATAAGTTTCATACAAGCACTCTTAGACTTTTCGCGGGTTTTTCCTCGTCGGCTGTCAGTTGAGTTTACCTCAACGGGTGGCAGGATTGTTCAACTAAATGGAAAGTGAAGAACTCTTAATGGCAAATTGTGTGAACTGATTCGTGAGAATTTTCCGATGAATTTGGTTGGGCTTGGTTTTGTTGTTGGGTTACTCGATAGGCTCCCACTTGACAGGGAGCTGTCATTCTTTGTTTTTAATATCCATGTTCCCATTCAATTTTTCCAAATATTTTTTTTACACTTTAGCTTTACTTTTCTTTTTGGTTTTTTTTTTGGAAAATTTTCATTTTGTTTTTTTTTTTTGGCAGCGGCAAAAACAATTTGTTTATATAACGAAGCACGTTGTGCTTTTGACATATTTATGCCGGTGGCCAGGCACTTGTGTTTGGCCTCTTTCCCCTTTATCCGCCCACTCCACCTGCCACGCCTACCACCCTCCGCCCCTAGTGTGTTGTATGGGGAAAAGTTTTTTTCTTCTTTTTCCCGCCACCTCTGGCTAAAAACAAAGGCCGACAAAAGGCCCAAGACGGCGATGATGAAGACAAGACGTTGAACACCAAAAGAAAAGGCAACCGACGTAGGAACGACCTCTTCATTGGCTTTAAGACCTTTCAGGAGGGAAGTTTTTCCTCCAAACTGCTTACTTTCTTTCTACTTCCGCTTTTCCCGCATTGTTTCTTTCCCAGTTCCCGTAGTATTTTGCTGTTGTCTGTGGCACAGTTTGGCTTGGAAAGCTTATCAAATGGGGCACTTTGAATGGGCCATGCAATTGAATGCAATTCGTATAGCTTTTAATAGATCAAAGATATAAAAATAATATATGCAAAGATTTAAAATTTAAACCATAATAATATTAAATAACTATTTCAAGTCTTTCAAAATAAGATCATAAAAAGTGTTTTTTTAAAGGACATCTTTCCCTTCTTTTGGCCATAAACACAAAATATTCTCCGCCTTGGTGAATACCCAGCTCATCTGCCATAATTTTAGATAATCTCTGAAACTTTATGGCTTTATAAGGGTATTAAAACTCCGTCAGATCTCAGATAAATTTCTTTACATTTTCTTGGCACTCTTTTGGCCCCCTGACCCCCCCTGGAACTTTTTCTTCTCCATTCGAAAATTTAACAAACAATCTGAAGTTGTACTGGGTCTAGGGTGCGCTCTCTTTCGGCCCCAGTATAGCCGTCTCTGTCTCGGCCTCTGTTGTGATAGGACCTTGCGTGTCTGGCGCGCATTTCGTGAGACTTAAGTGGGCCGGCGCCCAAAAAACAAAAATAAAATTCACAAAAACAAAACATAAAAAAAAAGGAAAAAAAAATTGTGTGGATATAGGATATGGGAAGGGTCTGGAGGGGGTATCCGAAAAGTAGATACGATATATTTATTGGCAGCGTCAGTTGGGCAAAGCTTCTGCGGGGGCGGCTGGGAGCCGTTTGTGTTTGAGTTTGCTTTGTTTTGGGGCTTGCCTTTGCTTTTATTTCTGGGCCCTGTGCGAAATCGAATTTATTGTTTTAATGCCATTTTCTGTCGCTGTCGAGCGCAAAAATTGGCAGTTTGTTTAGAAATTAGCGCACTCTCTTCCGTTGCCCGATGCCCTCATTCCGCCGGTATCTGTGTGTCCTTTGTGCCCCTTTTAGCATGTTAAATGAAAATCAATTTCATCTTCCTCTTTCTCGTTACAGCCAAAAGGTACAACGCCAGTCGCAGCATGAGCGGGTCGGGGACAGGAAGTGGGGTGGGCAGCGGCGCCACCCACATCTTTCGGTCCCTGTCATCGGAGAGCCAGAAGCGAGAGTGGTCCAAGCGGCTGTCCCTCAGGGGAATGCGCCACGGAGGCGCCGCGAGCGGAGGAGCTGCGGGCGGAGCTGGGACAGTCGGATCTTCAGGCCCGTCCAGCGGCAAGGAGGTGAGCTAATTGACCCCAACGACCACTCGCAATCCCACAATCATTACGCAAAAGCGGAGATTACACTGGGGAAAATAATATGAGTTCTAAGACATTAGGGTCTTCTTAAGTTACCTTACATATCCCCCATTTTTATCAGTGTAAGACCCATACACCATTTCTCACACCATAACCATCTATTCTTTTTGTGGCTTATTTGCAGGAAAGCAAACACAGAAAGTTCTTCAGCCGTTCTGCCTCCCTGCGGCAGGCCGGGAGTGGAGGCAGCCAACAGGCCTCCATGGAGCTGCATGTGCCCGGCCAGGGGGGTCAGGGTGGGATGTCCTCCGGAGCAGGCTCACCATCGCAGCCGCAAACACAGCCGTCGACGCCCAAGAAGTCCAACTGGGAGGTGATCGAACATTTCAATACGAGTGCCAAGGGAGGCAAGGCCATGGTTAGCAGCAGTTTGATTGCGGTAAGTATTAGGAGGGATGGGGGAATGGGAGTGGGAGTGGAAGGGGGCGGTAAGATGTGGGTACTGGCATCAATTAATTTACCCACCTAATGGACAGAACGTCGACTGCAGGCAATTCCCAGGCCCCAGGCCTTAGGCGCCCAGGCTCCACCTGTTGTGGCGGCTGTTGCCTCTCCTCGGCTGCCTGCTGGCTGGGATTTAAATATTTAATTTGATTGTGCCGCAAATAAGCTGGGACGGGCTAAATTTAAATACAATTTCATTGATGGCTGAATCTGGATCTGAGTCTGCTAATGGCAAGCGGGCAGGCCGGATGCCATTTGGTGAGCCCTGCAAGAATTTATTTAAAGTCAAACAATCTGGCATAAGCAAACAGCCTGCATGTCCTGGGGGCTTGGTTTAATTAAATTTATTGTTTTATTGAAATCGATCCTGGTCCGAAACTGGTCAACATGGAAAACAACCACATACCTCTGTAAGCTTGTTTTACAAACTATGCTTGTTTATTTTTAGTTTCAAACTAATATCATTTATCTCTCTCGTTACATTTGAGATGAAAACCAGTTCAATTTTAAAGTGGATACCATGGTTTTTATGCTGAAAACGAATAGTTTCCTTTTTCAACATCTTTTTGATATGTTTTTTTATATAACCATTTTCCCGTTTAGTACAAGTAACCGTGTTTTAATGCTCACTAACAAGCCATGTCCTGCAAAACGCACTCTTTCCCTCGCAGGGACACTCACACACAGTAACATCCTAACCGACATTCAGCCACCCACCCACACATACACCTGCATACATAAGCTGACATGCACAAGGGGCCACTTAGCAACTGCACGGATGTGTGTGTGTGTGCGTATTTCTATTTGCGTTCGTTGTCAAGAGTCAATTGACAAAGTTTAGCAAATTGAAAAGGCAAAAAAAGAAAGGTGAGGGTGTAGAGTAGACACTAGAGGGGAAAAAATACATTTCTGGCGTTCAAATGGGCGGCAATTTGCTTAAAAACGCCGCGGGGATCGAAATACAAACGCCATTTTAAGTGTGTCGGTGAGAGTGTGTGGGAGAAGCGTTTAGTTCGGTTATTTGGCAAGTGTGAAAAAAATCAAAGCATACTTACCAGCGTTAAAATAAAATGGGCTAAACGTGGTTAAACATTATTTTAATAGAAACTTCTATGAAAATCAAATAAAAAGGATTTTATAAATATAAGCCAGCCTTAGGCTTTCTAATTTTCAGATTCACAAACTATCAAAACTATTCAAATTATTATTCAGGCAATTAAATAAAGCTATTTTAATTAAAATCTATATAATAACATTTGTTTTATTGATTAGCTTTTATTGTATACATTTATTATATTTCTGATTTTAATAAATCTCTCTAATTCAAATAATTTAATTAATTTGTATCTCTTTCAGGCTGGCATCACGCGCTGCAACATCGACGAGTCTATCGATTCCACCAACTCCAGCTCCACCTGCCACAGCCCCATGATCTACCAACGTGACGAGGCCCAGCTGCTGCAACAAGGTGAGTGGAGTGAGGGAAACGAGTGGGAAAGGACCTCATTCTCCTTGAATGAATGGGAAAATGTGAGAAAAATCTCTTGGTTGGGTAATGCGAAAACGTTTACCGTTACTCGGGCTACTGAGGGTCAATAAAAATACCAGCACACATGCCATCTTTGGTAGAATCCTTCGCCCATCTCTTCCTCCATGCCCCTCATGGGTGCCCTCTTCATGGCGCTCAAAATGTCACAAGTTGATTGTCATTGTCATATTGAATTTGACGAGGCTATTTCGCAGTCTCGTCTTTCGTCTCACGTTTCTTTCGCTTCCCTATCCTCGTCATTGGCATTTCACTCACATCCCATGCTATTTTTTCCTCCTTTTGCCCCTTCGAGGTTGCCCCGGATCTATACTAGTACTATATACTCGTATGTACCACCCCATACATCATCCCATGCCACAGCATACCACACCATTCCATTCCATCCCATCCGATTTATTTTAGTTTTGTGTTTCCTGGGAAGGAACTGAGCCTTCTCTTGGTTTTGCTTGGCTTCGATAGACATCTGTACATGCTGCGTAGATTTCTATGGAAATTTACATAATCACGTTTGGCATTTATTTATTGATGCATATAAAAACATATTCCGAGATGCGTGTTTGGATGCCGCTCCCGCCTCCACAGCATTGTTTGCGGTTTCCTTCTTTTTTTTGTTGTTGCCATTGTGGTCAGGACACGGGACAGTTGAATGATTTTAATATGCCGATTTGGCTGACGTTCTCCATTTTACAATAAAATATTTTATGGCTTTGTGTGTTGCATTTGAAATCAAGGTCTTCATTCTCGGCCAGAAGAGATTGGAAATGTCAGCACACATAGATGATGATGGTGATGTATAAATCGAAATTGTATACAAGTTTGGCGGGTCAATTGTACTTTGAATGACAAAAGCCAAGATAATGTGTGTTGGTTTTGTGATCTGGAGGGTTTTGTTTGTGATTGTCATCTAAAAACATGGCTAAAGATATTAAGTTGCAAATCAAACAAGTTTAATCTTTATGTAAGCTTTTAATTAATAATTTGATTTTAGAGCAAAATGGATTTTACTGCTCTAATAAATATATTTTAATTATTAATCCTTGCTTTGGTTGTTAATTCATCTGTTTGTAGCTTACACTCTGTAGTCTCTAAAAAACATGTACTTTGATTTATAATCTGCCATTACATTGTACAAAGAGCCTATTTAAAAACCATCAATGGATTCATTGAACATCGACATTTGCATATCCACTCCATTTGAATGACTATTTAGCATTATTATTCCCTCAGAGAATAGGTAAGCCCCATAAATCCCATCTGTTGGATGTGCGGCAGGCCAGCCAAGTGTAAATCTGCAGAATCTGTAATTATTTGGGATGTCTGGCGGTGCTCGCAATTACACTTGCATATTTAGGCAGCAATTTGTAATCATTTTGCAGTTCAGCCCAGCTAATTGCAGTTCAGCCGGGCCATGACTTGGTCCAAATATCAAGCCAAGTTAACTTCCCGGCTGAAGTATTAATTAATTTGGCTTTTGTGTATGCGGCGGAGCGAGGCCGACAATGAATCCTGGAATAGTGTGCCACAAATTGAATCCGCTGCCTGTGATTTGCTTTCAGGAGATGCCGGCAATGTGGAGGCCAACAATCTGAATGCCGGAGGAGGAGCAGGCGGCGGCGGTGGAGTCGGAGCAGGAAATGGTCCGGTGAGCCCCAGCATTTCGTTCTGGTTCCGTTTGAACCGCATCATTCTGCGCCTCTGCTCCACGCACCAGTTTAAGAATCTCCAGGTAAGCTACTTATGCTGCAAGCTTAGCATGAAATCCTTTGCCAAACAACTTTCAACTTGCCTACCTTGCAACGTCCCCATCCACATCCCAGCTCCCAGCTCCTGCCTCCACCATTCCGGCCTTCTTTGAAACTTTTTCGCCTGGTTTGCTACTTAGTTTGCTCAACTTTTTCCGTGCACTTAGGAAATGGCTATATCAAAATACCTAAGCTGCGAAAATCAAGGACTCCTCTTTGAGGAAAGAATGCTGACTAAAATTTATTAGCATAAATTCTAAAATAAACATACACCTTGTTCCACCTTAAAAGCAAACTTTATATTAAATTAGAAAATATGTATTAAAGGTGTCATGGCTTTTTATTTTCACTTCACATTTATTTCCATAATTTTATGATAAAAGATATATCTTAAGACTTGATTCAAATTTTATTTTAGTAGTCTTCTGTAAACCATTTTAGGCTTAATTCAATTCCGCTAGAATAAACAGAGAATTAATTTTGCAAGTGTTTCCATTTCCATTTCCGGTTGGCACTCAGGTGGAAATGCTGTATCAGCGTTACTTTCTGCGTATGAACCAGAGCAACACCACCCACATTCTGGCGCTGCTCCTGGCCCTGATTCTGGCCCTTTCCTGCACGCACCTGGTCTTCACAACGCTGCAGCTTCAGCGCAGCAGCACCCTGATGCTGGAGCTCATGAGACTGGACACAAATGGCAGCCAAACCAATGGCAACTTGACGACAACCACAATGAAGCCACCGGTGGATGCCGGCCAGCAAATTGCCCAGGGCAGCGCCAACTCCTTCCTGCTGCCGGGCCTGAATTCCACATCCACCTCCAGGGTGGGGGGCAGTGATTTGGAATCCGCTTCTGACCGCGAACTCGTCGATTCTGATGTGGACGATAATGGGCAGGCGTGGCGGAGGCAGAAGCGCAAACATTATCGACGCCTCCACAAGCATCGCTACAAACACAAAACCAAGCACCACGCCCCGGCCAGGTGAGTGGGGTCAGGGGGCCGGGTGAGATGTGCCTTTGACAGGTCAACACCACCCGACAATGTGTTTCACCCGAAAGGCGACTCATATTTTGCCGAGCTGGCATTTGGGGCGCCTCCAAAAATTCAATCAAACAACTTTGGGCTGCCCCACCGAAAGCAAAGCAGATCTGAGCCCATAAAAGTATGTCTAAAGTAGGCTCAAATTGAATTTAAAGCGGGCTGGGAGGGGCCGGAACAAGTTAAGCTTCAAGGAAAGTAATTTTAGCCAAGCAAAGACCACAATCGATCGAACCGAATCCATGACATGGCTTTAATCAGCGACTGGCTTTCGCAAAGTGCGAGGAAAGTGCTCTGAAATTGAATTTGGAGTGGTGAAAAATACACATTTCAGGATAACATTAATCGGAGGAAACATGTCTAACTAAAATTGGCAAAAGAGAATTTTTAATTAAAATCAAATGAAGAGCTTATTCTATCTGGGGGGATTGGTTTTATAATTTAATTATCCAACTATGCGGCTTGAGGGAAAAATTTGTGGAAATATTAAGATGTTTACATTTCAAAGTATATAAGAGACTACTTGCGACTTAAAGACAGACATTACTATTGTTGTTTACCGAGTGTTATTGACCATTTTGTTGACATAAATATTTGTCAAGTTCCATCAATACTAGTGATAGTTAGAAGAACTCAAAGGCAGCAACAGATTGTGGCACACATCACCAGTCAACACGCAAGACAATACTCAAATCAATAAGGCATTCGATGACTGTCTCCCGAAATACATTTCGTCTGCCACTTCCATTTACATTTAGATTTATTTTCCCACAAATATTTATGCAGGTCATAAACGGCAACAAGATGGATGGGAGACTCTTTCCCAAAAAAAAAAACGAAAAACCCACAAAACACAGACATTTTCGGAGTGAAATGAATTTTGGGACTTTATTTCAGATACGATATCCGGGAGAAGCGGAGCCTGCAGAAGGGAGTAGGGGCGTCTGTTGACACTGGACCCGATGATGTTTACACTGCCACTGCCGCCGCAGAGGGCGGGACTGCCGCTACCGACGACAATGATGGGCGTGGAGTTGGCAGTAAACGCATTACGTATACGCCGCGTGTCCGCGACAACAATCAAATTTCACATGAGGAACGTGATGAAGTGTTAAACACATCGTCGGCCGCAGGACCGAGTGGGGAGGACGACGATTTGGACACCTCACTGAGCTACGGACACATTCTGGCCCTGCTCCTGATGCAGGTGGACGAGTCCGTGCTGGTCTTTCTCATCGTCATGCTAATCTGCGGCATTGTCTACTCCTGTAAGTCACTGGATACCACCAGGACGATTGACTTGTGGTCTTGGGGGCTAATCTGTTTGTATTTGCTTACAGTTCTGCTCTGCATTCTGTCCAAGCCGGCCATGAACGAGATATTCCTGGTCCTGGTATCATATGTCATCCTGGGTACCTTTCTGGCCATCGAAGTGGCAGTTAGTTTTGCGTTGCAACCAAGGTTGGTATTTCAATTTTTATTCCGAGATAGATAGTATCCATTATTTCTTTGAAAAGTATCACAATTTCTCTCTCTGTCGTGTCTGGCCTGGGGAAATTAATCATTCACGGCTCGCTAATTGCGAGAACTTGGCCAGGCCGGCAATCATCTTCGTCCCAAGCAAACAACCACATCTGCTATCCTGAATGCCCTCTGTCCATTGTCCTAATCGCTCTTCTCCTGTCCGAACATCTCCACAGCAAATCCTTCAACGGCAGCGCCTGCTGCACCGTCCTCATCTACATGACCTACACGATGTTGCCGCTCCGCCTCCGGGAAGCTCTGATCGGTGGCATTCTCCTGAGTCTTGTCCATTTGTACACCTGCCTGCGGCTCCCCTCGACCTTCCACGACCTGGAGGCCTTTAAATGGCAAGAGGTAAGTGATTGTTTACGCCAGAGGGTAAAGTTTAATTTAAAATCTTTGCATAAAGAGTAGCTTCTTGAGAGAGTCCTTGAAATTAAAGTAAACTGCCATTTACCAAAGGGTTCGATATCCTTAATGAGCCGCAAATGCAAATCGATTTAGCGAACATTAAAAGTAAAACATTGCGCCATAAAGTAGCCCGGGAAGGAGGACAGCCTTCCTTTAATTGCCGGGAAAACATGAAAATCAGGAGTTGGGGTCTCCGTGCCGGGGAGACAGCAGCTGAGCCTTGGCACGTGTCCTGGCAGTAGACACAAATGGAATAAAATTAAATTGCCGCAAAATTGAATGAAATCGAGGCGACGGCTCCCTCCACGCTGGCTCCTGCTCAGCTGTTGTTTTTCCTTGTATTTATGGGTCGTAATGTCATTAAAGACTGCTCCATCTTTTGCTTTTTCTTCCACTAGCTTCTTTGCACCCTGGTGGCCCTGCTTTTGGCCAACTTGACCGGCGTCTACACCCACTGGCCCAAGGAGAAAGCCCAGCGCAAGGCCTTCATCGAGACGAGGCAGTGCATCGAGGCTCGGCTGCGGACTCAACGCGAAAACCAGCAGCAGGTAAGGCTTCTGGGGTTATGCCCTCTTCAAATTCCCAGACAAAGTAATTTCAGCAGGTGTCACACGTGGGCGCATGGGTGCGTGGGTGGGCTCCGAGTTGAAAAGGGAAAACGCGACAAACAAATGAACAAACAGCCAGCGTACAAATTCCGCACAAATTGTTTGCATCAAACGGAATGTTGATTTACGGCCAGCGGGGTACAGATTCGTCTTGTACTTTTGTTTATTGTTTTATTCGGGGGACTTCTTTTATCTTGCACTTGGCAAACGCGAATACCAGGACATTCCATAATTCAGTGGCACCCTTTGAAGGTGATTGTCGGAGAGCAATAAATAAAAATCAAAGTAAATGGAAAGAAAGCCTATTAAATATTTATTTTTAAAAAGAAAAGAAACTTTAAAAACTCTTAAGTTATTATCTCCCCAACTGATCCCCCGCCAGAATTAAATTTAAATTTAAATCACATTTGGGGGGTCAGCGGAGAAGGAAAGCTTTATTTCCTCTGAAATGGATATGGGGCATTAAAGGTGTACCGTTTGTTGCAGGAACGCTTGCTGCTGTCGGTCCTGCCACGGCATGTGGCCATGGAGATGAAGGACGATATTGCGGGCCAGCCACGTGACACACAATTCCATAAGATATATATTCAGCGACACGAGAACGTCAGGTAAGTGTTTTGCACCTGTGTGCGTGCACGGCATACAGGGTCCTTTTCATTTATGTATATCTGTGACTGTCTCACTCTTGGGCTAAGAGTGTGTGTGTGTGAGAGAGAATTTATTTGCATGCAAAGTCAATAAATTGTTCGGCTGAGAGTCTCTGAATGTCTGAGCGTGTAACGCGAGCAATGAATTTGTATGCAAAGCCCAAAAGAAGCTAAACCAACTGCACAACCTCACACAGCCAGAAACACATACCCCCACCCACACCCCCAAAGAGGCACACAGGACGATACCAACACATGCAAAGCAGTCAACGAAGCATAATAAAGCATACTTTGGGGCGCACCTGTTTGAGCCAGAGTTGTCGTCCGTCTGTTGCTTCTGCTTTTCATACGCTTCCTTAAGGGAAAAGTTGCTAAGGATACCATTCAAAAATGACAATAGAAAAGGGACAAATTTAACAAAAAAGAATAGAAGAGGTCTTTCATTTTTGGGTAACTGGTGGATAATTAGAAATTCTTTTGTAGAACCACATAAACGTAAGGTATTCAGCAGTCTACTGTCTGAAATCCTTTGCAGGCACTTCCTGCTTTGGGGCCTTATGCTTACCCTCCCGAAACTTTACCTCAACCATTTTGTATTAAATTACGCGCTGAGCCGACTAAGCCCTTCTCAGTTACGAGTCGTAAAATCAGCAGAGTAGCGGCACAAACAAGTGGCAGGCGGCCGTGCTAACGTGGCTCTGTCAACACACGGCACGGTATAGGCCAACCTGAAAAAGGATTTATCATCATTAGATTTACGAGAATAAATAACCGACACATGATTTAGCTCAGGCAACAGGCTGTATTGTAGGCGGAACAAGGACTCTTTAAACTTGGCCAGCTAAATATTAAAAACACGTTAGAAACTTTTCGACAGAAGACTCTCAACTTTGTGTACACTCGTTCTGGCCCGAAAAGTGTATCCTCTCAACCGCATGTTTGTAATATGCGTTACTTTGTTGCCGGGCTTTTCCGACTTTCATCTCGCTTTCCACTTTCTCTCCTTTCTATGTGTATTTTCCAGCATTCTGTTTGCGGACATTTGCGGTTTCACCAGCCTCTCGGATCAGTGCACGGCGGAGGAGTTGGTGCGTCTGCTGAACGAGCTCTTTGCCCGGTGAGTATATGCTATCCAGCCTTCCAGAAGGGGCCAGGCCACTTGAATTTGATAGGCCAGTGGCTGTTGACCATAATTAATGGCAAACAGTTCAGACACTACACAATAAAACATTATCTTGTGTTTGGTTCAATACATTTCCCCCCAAAAATAGATTTCAGCAACAACCTTGATATCCCTTAGTTGTTATCAGTGTAGACCCAACAGTCTGGGCTATTGTCTTATTCATGAAATGGAAAACCAGACACAGCCTGCGGCTGTTTTAATTGCTCCCGATGAACGCCGGATAACTGACCTCGGGTCAAACAAATAAAGCTACTGACCTTTAAGAGTCTGAGGGTCTGAGGTCTCATTTCCAAGAACTGGTTGGAGAAATAGTTTCGTTTCTTTGATTTTTCAACATTTCCATAGAGAGAGTGCATTTATTTTAATGAATACGTCCTTCCAAGAAAGTCGTACCCCTTTTCAGGACATTCTTTATGTATTATTATTAAGGAGCAGGCTTTTCTGATTTTCTGCTTTTCTCGTTTTCATTTCCATTTTCCCTCGTTGCAGATTTGATCGATTGGCCGCAGAGCACCATTGTCTGCGCATTAAGCTGCTGGGCGATTGTTATTACTGTGTCTCCGGACTGCCAGAGCCCCGGCCGGATCACGCCCATTGTGCCGTCGAAATGGGACTCGATATGATTGACGCCATAGCGTGAGTATCCGTATCCGTGCTCGTATCCGCCGCTGAAACACAGATACAAAGGAGTCCTGATGTGTTGCGGCCTTGTTGTGTCTGCACAGCAAAAAAAAAATTTAAATAAATGTTTTTTAAAATATTTTTAAATAATAATAGTTCTTAGTTATATCCTACTTATACCCTTGTAACCTATTATCCTTTTTCTTTCTTGTATCCTTGCAGTCTAGTTCGCGAGGTGATGGCCGTAAATGTGAACATGCGAGTGGGCATCCACACGGGACGGGTGCATTGCGGCGTTCTGGGCCTGGTCAAGTGGCAGTTTGATGTGTGGTCCAATGACGTCACCCTGGCCAACCACATGGAGAGCGGCGGCATACCAGGGTGAGTGTGTTGGAGCATCCCGATCTGGTGACATCTTCACCCGAAATTAATTGATTTAGCGTCTTCAGCGCCCGCCAGCCGGTTGACACTTCAAAGTGGCCATTGTCTCTGCCATTGGACGATGGTTATGGTCCGTGGGGGGAGTATCCTCAGCAATTCAATTCATTCTGCCGCCATTCCGTTGGCCAATTCAATTTCATTCTGAATGGGCAAATCCAATTCAATCCATTCGAAATCCCGTTTCGGTCAGTTTGTGCCACTTCTGGCGACAGCTGTGAATAATGGCTATAAGCGGAGACTGTTGTTCCTAACATCTTAGTGCCTCCCCCTCTCTTGCCACACAAAGAGCCGTTGACAAGCTTGCGTGGCCGACAATTAAAGCCAACTTGTTGTGTCGGGCCAGAAGTTGGTGAAGAGGCCCACAAGTACCGTGGCGGCATTAAAGGAAGGAAGGACGAAAGGCACTCGAAAGTCCAAAAGTGTCGTTCGCGAGGGTGTGCCGCACTCTATTGTGGCTTAATCGCTGTAATTGCCACGAATACAGCCACAACGTAGCATTTTGCATGCGTCTTGTGGCCGGTTAAAGGCGTCAAGTTATTGGTAACTTGGCAGCCCTTAGCTCACCAGTCTTGCCCCTTACGGAAGCCCCTCAAATATAACGGCCGCCCAATCGATTACCACACCCTCTTTCCACTTTTATGGCGACCGACTTGCGGCATGCCACGCCCCTCACAATGCACTACAGCAACACCAACGCCCACCACTGATAAGTGCCCCGCAACAATATTTTGTTGCTGTTGATTCAGCTGCACTCACTTCAACACTTGAGCAATTTGTTTCTGTTCGCATGCCCCGACATCAAAAGTTTTTGGTGTTTGAAAGGGGTATATTAGGCAATAGGGTTGGGATAGATCTTCCTAAGGAAGTTCATCTTAATTTAATGCTTTTGTAGGCAAAAAAAATACAAATTCAAAGGGCTAGATCATTTGATGTGGATGATACATATATTTCAAAACAAGAGTGGTCTTTAAAGTAGATGGTTCCTTTTCATTGGAGATAGTTGGTGCTGATATCTTAGAGTCTAGACTCTAGAGATAGATCTTCCTGTAGAAGATTTTTTTTTGATTTAGACCTCACTTTAGAAGTAATACTACTTACTACTACTACTATCTGCTATTGAAGGTTTTAAAGGATAATGATGTGGATAGTCATAAGATCTAAGTCCTTAGGATTTCTCATATCTTAGGGTGCTACGACTTCTATTCCTCTAACCAGTTCTCTACCGCCTTCTCCACTTTCATTCTGTTTGAGCTTTCCATCTAGTTTTTTTGAATATTCAAGCTGCTACTTCGGGTGGAAGTTTAAGTAACTGTTGAGTCTATTTGGGTCAGCCCGGCGACGGCAGCTCGTTTGTTAGCCTGTCCCGGGTGAAATTAAAAGCAAATAGCTGCCGTGGGTGGCTATAGCTATGGTGGCCATGGCTCGAGCTGGCTCCGGCCCTCTGGATGCCTGATAAGCTGCAATTTCTGCCGAGAGTTGAGTTGCCACTGTGGCATGTAAAAAGTTCGTTAGCTGCATGTTCAAGACCCTGCCATGTGGAAGTGGCAGGGAGGGGAGGTGCCTCCAAGGGGAATGTGAGCTGCAGTAATCCATAACAAAGCGTCGTGTAATTATCAATAGAATCAACAACAGCAACTTGCAACCAACGTCAAGTTGCAGCGGCACGTGGCCGAGTCCTGGGAAGCCAAGGATTCAAGAAGCCAGAAGCATCAGCTGCCGACTCAGCGAGATTCCTGGCTCGGAACAACATTAAAAACTATTTAGGGGCAGGGCCGTGCAGCAGATGTGGCATGCAACCAATGTGGGTGTGAGTGCTGTTAACTGCATTTTCCATCGTGTGCAGAGAAACCTTAAGCTAAAAAGGATAATCATTAGAACGTGTCCTTCACTCCCTTTTTTTTATTTTCGCAATCGTTTCCAGACGCGTTCACATCACCAAGGAGACTTTAAAGTGTCTGGATGGCGATTACGAAGTGGAGGCCGGCAAAGGAAACGAACGTAATTCCTATCTCAAGGACCATCAAATCGAAACGTATCTGATAGTGCCGGGTGACATTTACAGGCCTGTAAGTTTAGATTTCCCAATCGTGGGCAGTTTGTTGATTAAAAGTCTTTGCAGCACAAGAAGTCCCGGAATCGCCTTCAGGTGAATGGAAATATATCCAAGGAGCTTCGCATGATGGGTCACGGAACTGCTCAGAAACATACTTCCAAGTAGGTTTTTATATTTTGATTTTAATATTTTCATTATTATTTTATTTTATTTCTTTGGCTTATTATTTATAGATTTGGTTTCGGCGACAGTTCTGAAAGCACAAAGGATCCAGAGGACGAGGTCAATGAGTATCTTATGCGTGCCATAGATGCTCGCAGTATCGATCATTTGAGAGCCGAACACTGTCAGTCCTTGCTGCTTTGTTTCAAAGATAATGTCCTGGAAAGAAAGGTAATGAAATTTTTTTAAAACTACCCTAAAGCCATAAACACAGTATGAGTGACTAAAAACAACTATGCGTATGAGTAATATTCCTCCATTTTATTACGTTACTCATACGCACTGTTTTTATTAAATTTTCTTACAAAAACGTTATGAAATTGCAGCAAAACAGTAGTTGCATTTGAATATTATCGTTGTTTATGTTTCCCTCTGGTAAACTTTTTGACACAACAACTTTGTGCTATTGTTGCCCCAACCCAACCCAAGCTCAGTGTGAATTTCTTATTTTTCTTAAATTATTCCTTAACCGCTTTGTTTTTCAGTACGCCAGCGAACCGGATCGCATGTTGTGTGTTTATTTCTACTGCAGTCTGTTGGTCCTGCTCGGAACGAGTATAATGCGACTGGTGGTCTTCCAGAGGTGAGTGCGGGGAATAAGCCACCATATATGCCAGAAATGAGAATGGGAATGGATGAGCTGGAAGTGTTTCCCACTGTTTACCAACTGGGCGGCCAAGCGGGGCGATACAATGCCCTGTGGGCCTTGACTCTTTGCATCCCGGCACATGCCACACCACAAAGCTCCACAAACCAAATGCCGAAATGCTGCTCTATTTAAATTTCCAACCTACCACTCCGCCATTCCAGCTCCCTGGTGACTCTGGCCCTGTCCATCGGAGCCCTGGTGCTGCTTGTGTTTCTGGTATTCCTGGTGGCATGTCATAAAATCAACTTTCAGGTGAGCACACAAAAAGAGTGGCGACATTTTGCATTTTTCATTCGACGGAATGCCAAACTTTGTAGCTGCCATCGGACATCAAGCGATTCTCATTGCGCATTCATAGCGATCGCAGGATATCACAGTTTTTTGCCTTCGCCAGCGTGTCCCTGATTGTCCTCACCACCCTCCTGGCCATGGTAAGTACAGTAATCACATAATCGGTAGCTATTAATTTTTGCAATTTTATTAAGAGTCATAAATATTTAAATGGCTGCTCAACCGAATAAGTATTCTGCAAAAAAAGTCGACATTTTGATGAGCGTTTTTATGTCCTTTACACAAACAAGTATAAATGTCCATTTTACAATTCATTGCATTATTTAAAGGTCATTCAGCAAATGGCCTAAAAAATTGGTGATGCTTTGATTCAATTATTACTTTTTATTTGACAAATATTTTCACATTTGTCAATCAAACATCAGCATGGCTATGACTTTCATGGGGCATACACGGCGTATGAGCAACAAATAGAGAAACATTTCACTTTTAAAATATATATCCCATATATGTAAAGTTACCATGATTCCTAAAAGTCAGTTACCTTTAGGGCTGCTCTTCATTAAAGTTATCCGGCCTTTGTTTTGAGGCAACTTTTGGCCGACTTTTTTGTATGTTTTTAGCCTTCATTGGCGGCTGTGCAATTGCTTGGGCAAATGGGGAAAACTTTGTGACTAGAAATTCTACAATGGCAGGGGAGACAAGTAAGAGGGGACATGGCATCCTCTTAAAAGGAATAAAAATAAAATTTACGTTTTGTAGTCCAAATAAAATCGGGGGCGCGCTTGTTGCGTTGCCGTTTTGGGCGCGTCAAAACAAAAGTTTTTCCATTAAAGTTCGGCATTGGCCAAGGAGAACAGCAACAACAACAACAAGGGTAAGAAGGACAACAGGAACAACAAGAACAACATGCATGATGAAGTGAAAGCGACCCACTGCCTTTATGGGCAACTTGTTACCTGCCCCATGTCGCTTTGCCGCATGCCCCCTAGGCTGTTTCGTCTGAAACCAGTCTCGAGCCTCAAGTTCTTTGACATTTCGCTGTCACATTTTTCGGGAGCTGCGTTTAATGGCACTTTAAGAGGCATTCGTATTCATTTGTGGGGGGACGGAGCACTTAATGGCCAATCCGGAGACCTGTTGGTGGCTGTGTCGCTCGTTAAAATCTGCCCGCAGATCGTTAAACTTGTCTAATGCGAATTTCATGGCCCGACAGCTAATTAGCAATGCCCCACTACCCTCTTCCATAGTTCCAGGAATCGTCCCGGCAGTTGGACCAGCTCCAAAGCCAACGCTTCTGGCTGGATGTGAATGGCAATGTGAGTGTCCTCAACCAGGAGATGTATGCCCCGGAGACGACCGATTGTGACTTCTATCTGGCCAACAATGTAAGTTTAAGAATCTTCTTAGAGAGCTATAGAACTATCATAATATTTCGAGAATATTGTGTGGAAAACTAATGAGATTTCTTAGTTGCTCTCCCATAGAATTTAAATTTTCCCCTGAGTGGGTGCTCAATAGTTTCCTCATCTTCCCACAGACATTCCTTCTGCTGACACTGCTCTCGATGATGAGCTGTGCCACCTACCAAGTCCTGCGGATCCTGCTGAAGCTGCTGCTGCTCCTGCTGGCCTCCGGCAGCTACATGGCCTGCTCCTCCTATTTGTATGCACGCAGCAAGGAAATAAGCCATGAGTTGGCGTAAGTAAGGCATGCCGCATGCTGTATGCCGCATCCCAACAGACATCCCAACATTCAGCAAAGCAGCTGCGCTATCTCTGGATGAAAACGAATTATGGCGTAATGCAATTTCAGTTCGGTTCAGAGGGTACTGCTACAGGAGGGGTTAAGGGTTACTGCTGAGTCGGCACCAGCTGAAATGCATTTACGGCAGCCGCAAACTGCATTAAAATTGTATTTAGCACCAACTCTGAATCCAACTGGAAACAGCATCAGCCTTTGGCTTCATTTATCAACTGCTGCTATACTCTCTCTTGTTCATTTCTGTTTCCTGTGTCCTGCATCCTGCGTTCTGCGTCCTTGCTGCCGCCGCATTACCCTTTAATGGACTGGAATAACTTCGTCATTGTCGCCATTTCGGGTTGCACCTTTTTTACGGCCACTGCGGATGCCGCGACATCACCACCACCACCACCACCATACCACACTACTAATGGAATAGGAACGAAGAGGCCCTGCTGCGCTACATAATTGATTCGATCTTCCTGTTTGCATTCATGCTGGCCCTGATTTTCCACAGCCACCAGACGGAGGCCACTTATCGCCTGGACTTTATATGGAAGCTGCAAGCCACTGGTGAGTTTAATCGCTTTTTTTTTTTTACGAAAGTGTGACAGGGAAATTGAGTGAGGAAAAGTTCCAGCCAACTTTGAAAAACATTTGCAAAACTTTAAGCTGGTCAAAGGGAATGCTGAAGCACTTTGGGAAATAGTTGAGAACTAATTTAGACACTTTAAGTCATTCCCTTTTCTAATTAATATGGCTCTTTTGGCCAAAACTTGTCCACTCGGCCAACTTGATAGTTTTGAATGCCAAAGTGGGAATTGATTAAAAATTAATTTAAGTTTGAGTGTTTAATGGAAATCTGTTTCTGAATTGATTACAAATTATGCATTTGGGAGTTAGGCTTTAGAACAGTATTTAATCTTTAATCCTTGAAGTCTATTAACTTTGAATATCATTTGTAAGCATAGGTATTCTCGAGAATAAAGCATTGCCAGCTTCAATATGCCTTCAGCAAAATGGAAGCCCTTTAAAATTATGAAGCTTATTAACAGTTACCAGTTGCAAAGCTTTGAAAACCCCGCATGGCACATGACGTCTCTCTCTTTTTTGTTTGAAACCGTATGGCAGTGATTTGAAATGAGTTCTCGCCCCCCGCATGTCAGAAAAGTTTCAACATATAAGCCAGTTCATTAGTATTAGTGGAGAAATGCACTCCCTCACTCACAGATACTGCCAAACATTCGCCAGTAATACTCTCCTTACTCATTCCATTATTTTGTAGCCCGGTTTTCAGCGCTCCTTTTTTTTGGGGTTTTTTTCCCCTTCATGCTTCGGTGAACTGATAAACTGATATTTCAATTTCACGCTCATATTTTTTCTTGTGGTGGCTAACGATTGTTTTTCCCATTTTCGCAGAGGAAAAGGAGGACATGGAGCACCTGCAGGCTTATAACCGTAAACTGCTGGAAAACATTCTGCCCGTTCACGTAGCCGAGCACTTTTTGAGTCGCGAAAAGCACCTTGACGTGAGTATATGAATTATTTTGCACTGAAAACAAGTATTTATATTTAAAAGTGGGTTAATTAAAGACAGTTTAAGCTAGAATTTAAAAGAAAAATATGCAAGTATTATAAATATTCATTAAAACAACTACCTATTATTATGTAAAAAATTAAAGTCATATAGTAGTGACCTTATATTCATGACACTTTCCAGCAAACTGCTCAACATATTAAAAAACTTTGCGGCTCTGAAATCTGCGCCAAATGCAGAAAAGCAGAAAATGTGTGAGAAGAGCTCGGGCGCCAGGTGGGGGGCACAGTTGGAGGATGCTGAAATGGCAATGGAGCCATGACCACGTGCATGCGGCCTGAAAACGTTTCGCTGCACACGCCACAAGGTGGAAAATCAGTGGTTTCTGGGTTTCGGGGCAAGTTTTCGGGCGTTGAGGTGATGGAGGAGACCTGGCAACTGCCTTTACCATTAAATGCAAATTCAACAAGCTGAGCAACCACATTTGATAGCTTAGATAGCCAACAAGGACACGGGTCTCTGGCGAGGCAACAAAAGCCAATAAGCTTCAACTTGAGCCTCTCAAACAGCTATTTCACTCGGCAAATAGGGGATTTCAAATCATTGTGGGGATTGAGTGATAACAGATAAAACAGATCCTGATATCTAAATATTTATATAACTATTTGAGAGTTTAAGTAAAAGACTTATTAATTGCGTTGTGCAATAAAACCTAACACCCTAATTAAAAACTAAAAATGTAAATAAAAATCTCAACTTGTTAGCCAACAGTTGGTTTAAATTTTACCATAAAAACACTAAAAAGTTACCCGCTCTTAACACATCAGTAAATAGATGGTACCATTTCCATAGCACCACTGCCAGGATCTAATTTAATTTGGCCTTTGGCTTTGTTGCAGGACCTCTACCACGAACAATGCGACTCGGTGTGCATCCTGTTCGCCAGCATTCCCAACTTCTCCGAATTCTACGTGGAGCTGGAGGGCAACAACGAGGGCGTCGAGTGCCTGCGTCTGCTGAACGAGATTATAGCCGACTTCGACGAGCTGCTTAGCGAGGAGCGCTTCCGGTGAGTTTGGCCACGGCAACTGCCACTGCCACTGCCAGGCTTCCTGTTTATCCCGAAACTCTTTTAACCACTTTTGGGGCTTGGCCCATTTCCGGTTCCCAACAGCTGCATTGAGAAAATCAAGAGCACGGGAGCCACTTACATGGCGGCATCCGGACTGACGGCGAACACCTGTGACCGGGTGAACTTCAACCATGTGACCGCGATGGCGGACTATGCCCTGCAGCTGTTCGACAAGATCGAGGAGGTCAACATGCATTCCTTTAACAACTTTCGGATGCGAATAGGTGAGGGTCCTTACCTTAGTTGGCTAACATGGCGTATGAGCTATTCCTATTCACAAAATATTACTCATACGCCCTGTTAGGTTTCTTATGTTGCCTATAAATAAACCATTGCATGATATCCTCATTGCAATTCCGTATTTCCAGGCATTAATATTGGTCCTGTGGTGGCCGGCGTGATTGGAGCCTGCAAGCCACAATACGACATTTGGGGCAATGCTGTCAACGTGGCCTCCCGAATGGATTCCACTGGTCTGGTCGACCACATCCAGGTGAGTTGAATGAGCTCTGTCTTGATTCTGTCTTGATTTAATCATCGGGTAATCGTGGGCACTCTGGTGGCTTTTCGACTGCCTCACTTTCACTATCAAAAGTTTCAGGCAACAAAAAGCCGGGAATTTCTTGTTGGGAAAGTTTTTATTTGGGTAGACGTCAGGGATGGGCTAAAGCTACACCTAAAGCCACGCCCACCTAATCAATGCCAACCTGTTCTGACCACTTCAGCGCAAAAGTTTTTAGTGTCAACGAAATTTCCCCCAAAAGGGGACAGGCAACAAGAAAAGCACAGATATGTATATAAAGGAATACAAATTCGGATAAAGTAACTTGTACATTAGGGTGACTCGACCTCTAAAGGACTTATAGGATAGTTACTTAACTCTATAAGATAGAGATAATAGAGAATTCTTTGGGTAATAGGATGGCATATGTTAATATGGTAGGATATGGTAATAAGATTTACCATATAATAAAATAGCTTTTATGAGAAAGATATTATTTTATAAAATCTTTGTAAGGTAAAAAAATGTCTTGTGGTGTATTTAATTTTAAAAACAATGCTAAGTTTTTAAATTTTTTTAATCTTCAAAAAATTTTACTATACATTACGTGGCACCCTCTTAGCGCAACCCATACGATATAGATACAAATGCGCATTTGATTTTATTTTCCGTGCGTCGACGCTGTCAATAAAACGAACTGAATGCGAAAAAAAAAATTTGCAAAAGAAATAAATTATTAAGCGGGCGTCAAGGGGTGGTGGCAGACAGGATGTAGCAGCTAGCAAGTGTAAAGGGAATTGGGCGACAGGTGGGCTAGGTGGGAAGGAGGCGTGGGTGTTATCATGAAATATGTAGCCAGGGGATGGCGGGTGGCTGAATAAATAAAAGCTGAGCCAGCTTCTGCTGTCGCTGCAGCCATTGAACTTGTCAGGTGGAATTTATGTTATCGCTTGTTTTCTCCTCCAACTCCTTTGCTTCACACCTGTGCAGGTCACCCAGGAGACGCAGCAGATACTCGAAGGACGCGGCTACGAGCTTACCTGTCGTGGTAGTGTGGATGTCAAAGGCAAGGGCTCCATGATCACCTACTTCCTCAAGGGCAAGAAGCCCAACGAGCCAAAGCCGGACTTGCCCAAGCCTGAGGTTGAGCCGCCAAAGACGCTGCCCCTGACCAAGGAACCGGATAAGCCTCCTGCCGAGTCCGACAAGCAACAGGAACCCATTAAGACCGACTCACAGGAGCAAGATGATGACCTGCTGCCCTCGCCCGACATCGATCTCAACTCGAATATGCAGAACTTGACGGCCCAGCGGAGGAAGTCCCTCTGCCGACAGCACAACATATCCTCGTCCTTTGGCACCACCGTGAGCAGCTCCACGGGCATCACCCCCAGTATCTCCAATAGCTCCAGCGTCGTCACCATTGGAGCTCTGCCGGCGATCCTGCGGGGGGCAAACACCAATACGAATCCCAATCCCAGCATGAATGCAAACTCATCTGCCACGAATGACAATTCCGCGGTGGCCACGCCCACAGCACCGCCAAGAACGCTGGTGGCCGAGCTCAAGGATGAGATAGCCAGGGACGAGAAGACTGGCCTGAAGGACTCCATAGAAAACCTGGAGATCTTGCTGAAGAACAACATAAGCCTCTCCGACCTGAGCAACAAGCAGCAACAGAACCTCCGGGGGGAGACGAGCAGTTCCACGACGACCACCCTCAGGAAAAGAGACACCATCGTGAGCTTCAACGTAACGGAAACGGTGACCACAACGGCAGTTCCCTGCCCCGCCTCGGGGTCGGGCTGCTCCTCCACTTCCCAGCAGAAAAAGCGCCGCTCGGTGACCGCCATGGCAGCCAGTTACATCACCACCTCCGCCACCACAGGCACCACCGCCCGACTGCTGTCCAACGAGAGCCAGAGCTCCACCCAGACGGCACCCGGCACCCTTGAGAGCTCCGTGCCGGGTCAGTCCTCCACGGAGAACTCCTCGCAGGACTGGCAGCCGCGGACGGCCACCTTGGAGCCCAACCGGAGCCCGATCAAAACCTCGCAATCGATGAGCCCGATTGGCGGCCAGATGACCCCCGACATGTACGTCCTGCCCAACAGCCGGAGCATGATACTCATCAGCACCAACGGGTCGGGGGGTGGTGGCAGCAGTCCGAGGGCGGGAATCCTGCAGGATGTAAGCACGTAAGGGATCGTCAGGCAACCGTGTAAATATGTACAGAAAACAGAGAAAAGGAGGCAGCTAGTCAAGGATTAGAGGTAACATTAAGGGTAATGAATAGTGGGTAACGGATGGAGCAGTAACGGATAGGATTAGGATGTAGCTTGTAGACGGATTGGGCTTGCCAGTATACAGTGGCGTCACTGTACTATCAGCTCTCCCTTCCCCTTGTATGATCTCGCATTTATCTCGTAGCTTTACGTGTGTTCCTCAGTTAGCGTTTCAAGGCACAAGAAACAATTTCCATATCACACCGAAAGAAAACTATAGTACGAACGCAAAGTCTTGCACTTGCACTTCAACAGGGTACCAAAGAGAAAGGGCATTGAGCACTAGATGTTAGAGTTGTTAGTCATTCGATAGGTTGTAAGGCTTGGGAGCGAAGTGGAGTGGAGGTCCTTCGAAAGAAGTGTAGGTGTGTAAGGTTCCTATCTGTGTACGTAAAAGGTGGCCAGCCGATATCGTTGGGGCGGCGCCAATAGTGGATAGATTAGTTGGATAAGTGTGCAAAGAAATCGAATTTAAAGTTCATAGTCAAACGAATCAATAAGGACTACGAATCTGGGAGGAATGCAAAGGAATCCATTTAATTGTTCAATTAATTGAAAACATTGTTAGGGCTTGCTATTCATAGGAGTGGTTTGCATTCCTCCCAACTGACAGCTTTCAAAGGAAACCAAGTGGAGCTCTATTCCAACGATTACCATATCTTTAAGTAATATCCATGTTTGGGGCACTCATTACCCAAACCAGAACTCTGTCAATTGAAGTCTGTTGAATACAAAGGGCAGCAAGAACCTAATTGTTGCTAAAGAGTATATACTATATATTTAAGTCGAAATGAAAGAGTATTTAATACGAATAGTGTTTAAAGTTAAACTCAGTATCGTTTATGTGTAACGTTAAATGTGTTTCAATGTCTGTATGTCTCAATGTTGCTGAAAGCATCAACACTAAACATAATTGTATTATTAATATTGATGCAGTATATACACGTAAATATATACATAAATATATTATGCGTAAACAAACCAATGGAAAACAAACAAAATTCTCGCTGTGATTTCTATGAAGAAAACGTAAAATGCATAAATTATTTTATAACCTTTTGTTACTTAGTTTTAACTCGCATACTTACGAACGCCTCTCGGCCACTTTTGACTCTCGGCCTAGCTACCAACTATTTCATTTAACTGAGCATACAGTATCCTATATATAGTTTGTTACAACGTAAGCGTATGCATGTATTGGACTCGATGTTGATTAGCTTTGGTGTTCCGTTTTGAAGTTGATTACCCAACCAACCAATAATCTAGAGCCAAATCCCCATAAGTGTAAATGTTTCATTGTGCAAAGTCAAAAAAACGTGTTAATAAAGGGCGCAATTTATTTGGAAACTCTACAAATTGTTTATTATATCGAAGACATAGCTCCGGAAAATTCTTCTATTTACACAGTTCTCCTCACAGCTTTCGGGCCCGTCGCCACAGGCAATAGTATCCCAGCAGATGGAAACCAAAGTAGAGGCCCACCATGGCCAGGATATTCCGGTAGATATTGTTCTCGTTGAAGCTGTACTTGTCCAGGACATCCTGGCCAGTGTGGAAGCACGGCAAGTCTGCGCTCTCCTGGAAGCAAGCTGAAAAAAAGTGGCGTTGTATTATTTTCTTTTTTTTTAATTTTTTATTTCAACTCACTGATATTCTGTACTCCGGACCATTGGGCAATGGTCATGGCTTCATTGGCGTACAACATCCAGGAGAGGAACTGCGTCCACCAAAAGGCAACAGGTAAGGAGCTGCAAGCACATAGTTGCTAAACCTATGGCAGTATAATATTTTTCGGTATTACTTACTTCACTTGTATAAAGATACCAGAGGTGATCATGAATATATAGTCCAGAGGCACCAAGTAGGCCATAGCCAATGGAACAGAATTGAAGGCAGTGGAGAAGAAGCAGCCACAAGCGGTGGCCACATTCATTACCAGAACCACGCAGATGGCCGTGACTCCAAAGGCATAGAAAGTGGATCTAAGACCAGTTATCCAATAGCATATTATGACGAAAAGCAGGGGCTCTAAAATCATTCCTGGTAGCTGGAGGACAAAATATAATTTAAATACTATATTAAAATAAAAATAAATACTACCCACCAATGCCAAAATATTGGCCGCATAATAGTGCCAAGTAGAGTACAATCCTGATCTCGTTTCCCTCATAAAAAGCGGAAAACCCTGAGGAAACAAGTTCAACACAGAGTACATGGGATGGTAGGTATTCTCGGAAATCATTATAAAGAGTGCCCCCTGTACAGCCTGAACTCCCAGCTGGGAGGGCTCTGTCGTGCCGGCAAAGCAGGCTCCAATAATAAAAGCCATGGCTATCTTTTGGACAAATCGCATCCACTGAATTGTGGGATCCCTTAGCAAGGTAAGCGATGCACGCATCCACACCACGTGGAACCGCTTGTACCAGGCTACGCTCCTGAAGGACTCCACCTCCGTGTCGAAGGGAAAGTTCCCCGACTGGGCCATGTGGATCTCGAGATTCACAAGCATATCCCTTTGCTTGGCCGCAGAACTAACAGCAAACTGGTCGCACAAGTGCTGGGCAGAGCGCTGGGAAGCCTGCTCGTAGCCAGGATCTGTGGCCAGGACTCCAATGAGAAAATCTGCCGGATTGTAGGCTTCGGGGCAGTAGTATCCATGATTGGCAAAGAAGCTCAGAGCATGCTGGGGGGATCCTGTGAAGGCCACTCGTCCATCGGCCAGCAGCATAACGTTGTTGAAATTATCAAACAGCTGCGAGCTGGGCTGGTGGATGGTGCAGAGAATGGTAGTTCCCTTTTGGGCCAACTCGTACAGTGTGGCCACCAGCTGCTGGGCACTGAAAGAGTCCAGGCCTGTGGTGGGCTCATCGCAGAATAGGATCACCGGATTGTTCAGCAGCTCCACGGCAAAGGCGAGGCGTTTCCTTTCTCCTCCAGACAGGACCTTTTTGTCATCTCCGCTGCCAATACGGGTTTGAGCAGCCGAAAGGAGTCCTGTCCGTTCCAACAGTTCGTTTATGATGAGGCGACGTTCCTCCTTGGACACGCGGCGATCTAGACGGAGATGGGCCTAAAAACCAGAAATTTTTTTGAGTCCTAAACTTCTTAAATTTTTCTCAAAATTTTTTAAAACTTTTAAAATATTTTAATTAGAGTATTAATATTTTTTTAGTTTTTCCAACTGAAGTCTTGGTAGATTTTATCGCATGCGATATTCCACCAAAAATACTTAAAAAGTGTAGCATACATTTGAGATGAAAATAAAGAGACATATTTTAGCAACTAAAAATATGCTTTAATTTTTGTATACAGTTACCAATTTAAATTTTAAAAGTTGTTTATATATTTGGAAAATTGTTGGAAAACTCAAAAAATACAGAACTCAGTTCCTTTTAATTTTTTTCGGAATAAGACCTTGAAAAAAAATTTAAAGAAAAATCCCTTCTTTAAAAAACTATTCCCCAAATTCTCACCATGAAGTTAAGATGCTCCAGCACAGTAAGCGATCCAATAAAGAGATCATCCTGGTAGACGTAGCCACTGATGCGGTGCATAAAGGGTCCGATGCGCCGGCCGTTTATCAGAATGTCGCCTTGAACCACAGTCCCGGCTGCAGCGTAGATTTCAATGCAAATGGAGCACGACAGAGATAAGGGGGATAAACCTAATCTTATCTTAAACTACTCGGATGTATCCAACTTACCGGGCTGTCGAAAAGCGAGTGTCGACATGAGTGTTGTTTTTCCAGAACCGCTGAGAATATGAAAGTTATTTTAGTGGGATCTCTGCTTATCGGGCAATGGATAATCACAGAAGATAGTTGACATAGTTAACACCCAAAAAACACATAGTTTTTGGTCATCTTAGAGTTCTTTTTCACAGATGTTCCAGTTGAGCGCCTTGGCTATATCGATTTCTGTATATATTACTAGCTTACCTCGAGCCCATTAAAGCCATCAGAGTGCCCGGTTGAATGGCCCCCGTCGAGTTGTTGATGATCCGCTTCATGCCCCGGCCCGAGCCACCCACATTGGTGTAGACACACAGATCCCGCCACACCAGCGTGGCACCCTGCTCCGTGGGCGACCACTTGCTGTAGCTCCTGAGGGGCAGGCTCCGTTCGGAGCTGTTTCGCTTCGAAAGCTTAGGGGTGCTGTCCAGGCTGGGCACCTCGATGGTGGTGGCGGCAACAGGCAGCAGCTGCAGCTCGTGCTGCTCCACCACCGGCTGTGTTGCAGCCACATCTCCCGACTTGCTATCTGCATCTGACATTATCTTTGGATTATCTTTAAACTGACGGATATACACGGAACCGAACCGAAGCGTGCCACTGCTGGGCACCAACTAACCGATTGCTCTTCGGCGAGAAGTTGTCACAGCCAGGCTGACACTAAGATAGGCAGCCACAGTAGGCACTGGTTGAGATGGCCAAGATAAGGGGGAGATAGTCATAAATTAGAGAACCCCCTGCCAGTTCGCATTCAACCAGTGACTCCTGTTCCACTTAGCTATGCAAGTAACCCAACGAGGTGGGAATCAGAGGCTAGTTCTTAGGGTGGCCCCGGTGGAGAGCACTCGATCGTCTTGCAGTTTACCGACCGCTTGGCGGGCAGCGGGCTCAGACAGCGACTCCAATTACCACTTACCATTGGCAGCGATGGGGTCAGGGGGCGAAGCGTAAGAGTAAGATTCCCGGCCAAGCTGCCGGGAAGCCCTGCAGCGCCAAAGGCATCCATCCAAGCAGCCAGCGGGAAAACCGCCGCGGCAATGGGGGAAAATAGAAATACGAGGAAAAGCAGCTCGCCATTGTCATCACGTTTCTGTTTTGCTCGCGACATTCGCGTTCAAAGAGAACATTGAAATTAATTCAGAAAGATATAGCTAGCATGAAGAAGCATTCTTGGGAATGAACTTCAACTGGCACTGGAAAAAACATTAACTTGGATGCAAAAAGATACCTATTCTTAATGAGCATCACTTCATAAATGCACTTTCTTAGCATGCCCCTCTGCTCTTTCCGAAATCTATCAATTGAAATCCTTTTAGAAAAATGAAACTGTTGTTTTCCACAAAAATATTATTTATTTTATGTAACTTTTATAAAATTTGTATAAAGTTTAATATATACTATTTTATAAAATAATTTATTTAAATAAAACAGCTATTATTTGTCACCTCTTAGCTTCATTTGTAATTTTCCAGTTCATCAGGTTCTTTCGAGTGCGGCTCACAACCTGAAAAGAAAAAACATTTTGGAAATTAATTTTATTAGAAAAATTTGGCCACTGGAATCACAATTTTATAGGGGTACCTCTAGACGAAAATTCGAAAAATTTCAAAACCATATTTAGGAAATGTTTTGAATGAGGAAAGTCGCTCCTGGGTTCGCTGATTACTGAATGGTTTTTTATTTCCTGATCGGATACAATTTGGCAGAGCTATGGCCATCGGAAGGAGCAAAAGTGGGGAAATCGGGAAAACATACAATTTTATAGGGGTACCCCTAGAAAAAAATTCGAAAAATTTCAAAACCATATTTAGGAAATGTTTTGAATGAGGAAAGTCGCTCCTGGGTTCGCTGATTACTGAATGGTACTTTATTTCCTGATCGGATACAATTTGGCAGAGCTATGGCCATCAGAAGGAGCAAAAGTGGGGAAATCGGAAAAACATACATTTTTATAGGGGTACCCCTAGGAAAAAATTCGAAAAATTTCAAAACCATATTTAGGAAATGTTTTGAATGAGGAAAGTCGCTCCTGGGTTCGCTGATTACTGAATGATACTTTATTTCCTGATCGGAAACAATTTGGCAGAGCTATGGCCATCAGAAGGAGCAAAAGTGGGGAAATCGGGAAAACGTACAATTTTATAGGGGTACCCCTAGGAAAAAATTCGAAAAATTTCAAAACCATATTTAGGAAATGTTTTGAATGAGGAAAGTCGCTCCTGGGTTCGCTGGTTACTGAATGGTACTTTATTTCCTGATCGGATACAATTTGGCAGAGCTATGGCCATCGGAAGGACCAAAAGTGGGGAAATCGGAAAAACATACATTTTTATAGGGGTACCCCTAGGAAAAAATTCGAAAAATTTCAAAACCATATTTAGGAAATGTTTTGAATGAGGAAAGTCGCTCCTGGGTTCGCTGATTACTGAATGGTACTTTATTTCCTGGTCGGAAACAATTTGGCAGAGCTATGGCCATCAGAAGGAGCAAAAGTGGGGAAATCAGAAAAACATACATTTTTATAGGGGTACCCCTAGGAAAAAATTCAAAAATTTCAAAACCATATTTAGGAAATGTTTTGAATGAGGAAAGTCGCCCCTGGGTTCGCTGATTACTGAATGGTACTTTATTTCCTGATCGGATACAATTTGGCAGAGCTATGGCCATCAGAAGGAGCAAAAGTGGGGAAATCGGGAAAACATAAAATTTTATAGGGGTACCCCTAGAAAAAAATTCGAAAAATTTCAAAACCATATTTAGGAAATGTTTTGAATGAGGAAAGTCGCTCCTGGGTTCGCTGATTACTGAATGGTACTTTATTTCCTGATCGGATACAATTTGGCAGAGCTATGGCCATCGGAAGGAGCAAAAGTGGGGAAATCGGGAAAACACAATTTTATGATGGTACCCCTAGGAAAAAATTCGAATAATTTCAAAACCATATTTAGGAAATGTTTTGAATGAGGAAAGTCGCTCCTGGGTTCGCTGATTACTGAATGGTTTTTTATTTCCTGATCGGATACAATTTGGCAGAGCTATGGCCATCGGAAGGAGCAAAAGTGGGGAAATCGGGAAAACATACAATTTTATAGGGGTACCCCTAGGAAAAAATTCGAAAAATTTCAAAACCATATTTAGGAAATGTTTTGAATGAGGAAAGTCGCTCCTGGGTTCGCTGATTACTGAATGGTACTTTATTTCCTGATCGGAAACAATTTGGCAGAGCTATGGCCATCAGAAGGAGCAAAAGTGGGGAAATCGGGAAAACGTACAATTTTATAGGGGTACCCCTAGGAAAAAATTCGAAAATTTTCAAAACCATATTTAGGAAATGTTTTGAATGAGGAAAGTCGCTCCTGGGTTCGCTGGTTACTGAATGGTACTTTATTTCCTGATCGGATACAATTTGGCAGAGCTATGGCCATCGGAAGGACCAAAAGTGGGGAAATCGGAAAAACATACATTTTTATAGGGGTACCCCTAGGAAAAAATTCAAAAATTTCAAAACCATATTTAGGAAATGTTTTGAATGAGGAAAGTCGCTCCTGGGTTCGCTGATTACTGAATGGTACTTTATTTCCTGATCTGATAATTGTCAGAGCTATGGCCATTAGAAGGAGCCAAAGTTTGCCAATCGGAAAAACTCACAATTTCAGAAAATTTCCTGGAGGAAAATATTCGAAAAATTAAAAGACCATAATTAAGCAGTGTTTTGAATGAGGAAAGTCAAAAATTGGCCAAGATATTTGTTGTTATATTTTTTCAATCTTTTTTTACAGATTGTAGTGATCGGACTCATAAATGGTGTTTGGTAAAATAACATACAAACTTTTTTTTTGTAATTACAAAAACGATTTTCCAATTAACCAATTCAAAAATTATAGCTTTTATTGCTAGGGTATGTCTATGGGTAATCGAAATCGAAGACGTGATTAAAATAAAGCCAATCGAAATCAGTATCAGCACTTTTCGCTGATAAGCCATTAAGAGTGAACGGAACGGCCCCTGTTTTTCTCAGTTCTCAGTTAGCCATTGCGCGGATCAGTCGCAACCCAGCGGTACAAAATATAATATATATACGAATATATATAGAACCATATATATAAAACAATTGTGCAACGTTATTTGATACACCTTTATAGTACCTTATAAGCAAAAAGCAACAGCAGTTCCAGAAACAATAAAAATTAAACCGTAAATCTGTTCAGACATAATACACTGTTGGTATCGCGTATCGCTACTTTAGTGGTCCCCTAAATTAGTGTCCAGAGCTGTAAATCCCAACTTAATTAGTCTATAATTAAGGTTTAATAAAGAAGGCTGTTATCGATGCTGTTATCGTCCATTGGACGTCTTCGACATTGAACGGAAAGTGAGAACTACGTGCGGTAAAGGGTTGTGATAAGGGGGAAATCCATAGAATTCCGCTAGACGCTAATTAAAATATAAAATAGTTAGAATCAAACACGTGTGTTCGATTAAAGAGCAATTAAATAGAGCAAACTGCAGCCACAAAAGCCAATATACCCCGTAATCAAAATAGAGCGTAAATAACGTAATCAAGTGACCAATTTGCAAAACAAACAATCTATCGGATAATGGAATAGCCATGCAAATATTAAAAACAATCTTTTGATAAGCTGCAGTTGGCGGTTTCTAATTTGAATCTGAAATCTGAAAGCTGCGAGAGCATAAAAAGCTCTCTATCTCAACCCCTAGCCGAAGGCCGGCCAACATTATTTAACAGCGGGAGAGACTCTTGCGAGTGCGCAGAGCGAAAATGAGCGCTGTCGAGGTGAGTGGTTTTTCGGGGCATTTTGCCGCTAAATGGTTTGTTTTTGTTTTGCAACGCGGCTAAATTTATCAACCACAAAGTGAGAGTGCCGGCAAGCCAACAATAAAATAAACTTCAAATCAATTAGTTTTCATTTTACTTTATCAAATAAATCAGAATAATTGGAGACGCGATCGTTTCATTCAATGGTTACGTATTACGTATACGCCAAGCGGAAAAATTCTGCTCAAAAAATGCTGAGAATACAACAGAAGTGGTTCTAGTGACCTTGACCATGACAATACAATAATGTTTGACTTAAAAACTATATTGATTTTAAATTAAAAATGTGAATAAAAGAAAGAAAACAAAGAAAAGTGATTCGTCATACAAATTAGAAGTATTGTAACAAGACACTTATCTCAAAAATAATAAATAAATACATAGTATGTATGTCAACAAAGCACATGGCATGATTATTTTAAAAATATAGTTGAATTGCTAATACTCTACAAAAATAAGTTAAAAAATTTAAAAAAAAAAAATATTGTGTATTAAAATTAAAATATTTTCCATAAACTTTATAATTAAAATTTAAATATTTCAAAATAAGTGAGTTTATCAAGTAAAACTACCCCTTGGCTGTGTATCTCATACTTATTGTTTGGAAACGAGTTTCAAAGCTCAACTTTGTCGAGATCTAGCAGCATTGCCAGCATAAAAAATAATTACCAAGCAAAGCAACTCGAATGCAAAATGCATTGCATACTTTCAGGCACCCACAGGAAATGGCAGCGAAAATGGAGTCGAAGGAACAGCCATTGCAACACCACAACAGAGACGCCATAGCCAGGCCAGCGAAAATAGCACCAGTCCCAATCTTGGCGAGGTGACAGCGAGGCGCTCCTTCTGCCAGTGGACATGGCATGTGGTGACTTCCATTTCCGTGGAGCCCACCATGTTCCTGTACATGTTCGCCTTCATGATCACCTCGGTGGTGGAGCAGAACTTCTTCCTGTACAAGTCGTGTCGGGTGAACAATAACTTTACGGAGGAGATCTGCCGGAACATCAATCTACCGGAGAACAAGGTGTTCAAGGATGCCTCCTTAAAAACCAACGCCTGGTTCCTGCAGTGGGAGAACATATCCGCCCATGTCTTCCCCATCATACTGGCCCTGTTTTTGGGCTCATTCTCAGATCGTCGTGGCCGGAAACTGCCCCTGCTGATAGGTCTGTTCGGCAAGTTCATCTACTCCACGATGATTGTGGTGAACGCCAAGATGCCCACCTGGCCAGTTCAGAACATTATCTACTCGGCTACGCTGCCATCGGCGCTTACAGGAGCGGATGTGGCCATTTTCGCCTCCTGCTTCGCTTATATCTCGGACATATCAACGCTGGAGCAGCGCACCATCAGAGTTACCATTCTGGACGTGATCTACCTGAGCGCCATGCCCACAGGAGTGGCCCTGGGCTCCCATCTTTACTACAAGGTCTTCAATCAGTCCTACGCAGATATGTTCACCGTAAACGCTAGCCTTCTGGCCCTGGCTATTATCTATTCTTTCTTTGCCCTCAAGGTGAGAGTGAGAGGCCTTTAGAGAATAATATCCTACTAACCCTTAACTTCCACCTCGTTTCCATTTAGTGGCAAACCACTCCCCGCCAGCGTTCTCTCAGGGAGTTGGGCTACTGCGGCTTCTGGGTGGACTATTTCGACAAGCAGCACGTAAAGGACTCGTTCGCGGTGCTCGTGAAGAAGCGGCGGGGTCATCGGCGGAGCTTCCTCATTATCCTGCTGGTTAGCATGGCGCTCTACACCTTCCAGCGGGACGAGGGCAGCTACCTGTACATGTACACCCTCGACAAGTTCAACTGGGACGTGAGCTCGTACAGCAGCTTCAAGACCTTCAAGTCGTCGGCCTACGTGATTGCCATGCTGCTGGCAGTGCCTCTAATGAACAAGGTCCTGGGCTGGAGGGATACAGTAAGTCTAGGATTACACCCACCCCTTACTAATCCCAACTAATTGGGTCATCCTGGAAACTAGATAATCATCTTCATCGGCACCTGGGCGCATACGATAGCCCGCTTGTTCTTCTATTTTGCCGACAACACGGATCTGCTCTATGCCGGAGCTGTGGTCTGCAGTCTGGGTCCGATTGTGGGTCCCATGATCCGGGCAATGACCTCCAAAATAGTCCCGACCTCGGAGCGCGGCAAGGTGTTTGCCCTGCTAGCGGTCTGCGATAATGCGGTGCCCTTCATCAGCGGGGTGTGCTACTCGCAGCTCTACCGTGCCACTAAATCGAATAACAACGGAGGGGCAGTCTTCATGCTGACGATAGCCACCCAGTTGACTGTTTTTGTGCTTATATTGTAAGTTACTTAACTATTAATTAATTTAATCTTTTAATTAATGTAATCTCTTTAGGTGCATTCACATTATTCTGGGAAAGAACTCATTGGCTGTCCCAGAAGTTCCAGAAAAAGAAAGTGGCCTTATACCCAAAAAACAAGCTGCCCCGGATGTCCCAACCGAAGAAGATTAACTTTAAAACTAATTCCTATTAATTATAAGAAATTTTCAGATAATAAAAAATATAATTTTTATGAAATTTATTACTTGTTCCCCCCTTATTAAGATAGACTCACCCGAAGAGGCATCCAGGGGGGAATCACTTGTTCTTGGAGAGGGTGCGCTGCTTCTCGGCATGCTCCACCACTTGCTCGTCCACAAAGAGACCCTTCCGGCGTCGCACACTGTCCATGTAGAGCTTGGCCCGGTTGGCGGAGTCCGCCTTCTCGCCGAAGTGCATCAGCTCCTCCTCGGTGGTGGGCAGCCAGAAGGGATCGATATCAATCACCTGTAAGAGAGAAGAGAAGAACGCGCAGTGTGAATGGCCTTCCAGGAAATCATTTAGGCACTTGAGACGAGACAATAGGGAATGACACAAGGACTAAGGACGAGGCGTCGCTGGGTCTATGCGCCTGCGCCTGTGCCTCGCACTGGATTGGATTGGATTTGGGTTGGTTGGGTTTTATGGGCTGAGCATCCTTTTGTGTGCCCGGCAGGGAAAGCGTGCATTTTCACATCTTCATTGTTTTGGGTTCGAGAGGCATCGACAATGGACTCGACGCTTAATGACTTTCAAAGGACGCAGGGACACGCATTGCGTGATAAGGCAGGCTCGCCAGGATACGCAGAATTGTACGAGGCATTTCCTCAATGGCGTGAAGAACCTTCCCTCTCTCTTCAAAGGTACTCGGTCCACGCTTGATTGATGATTGCCTCCTGCAAGGCGAACCACTTGAGAATCTCTGGTGTGAGATCTGCATTGTTTTGTATTTTGTATTTCTTTCTTTTTTTTCAGCAAGGACTTGAGTTGACACAGCGGGCGGGTGTCGAGCACTTCCCTGGAAAATCTCCTCTCCCTCTGACAGATTTTGGGTTTTATTCCATACTTTGGATTCCCCCATCAATGACTGAGCTTGCCCTGAAACCGATTGAGACGCACAGGCATTGTTGGCCTTTTTTTCAGGATACAGCTTTCACAGAGAAAGAAATTATTAATATTTTCGGGAAGCAAGGACTAAAATCCCTATTATATGAAGCTCATTTTTCAAGAGCTACCAGCCGTTAAAAGGATTTCTTGAATTTAAATAACCTTCTACCCCTTTTTCGTCCTGTGTACGAGTGTTTTCTGGCCATCTGTTCGCACTACGCTAAACTGCGGGCCCTCGAACATCTTCGCAATCCCATGTAGATCATTATCGGGCACAACGATTCGCTTGTTTAACAACAACGAACAACGCCAAGTGGGGGCAGCGATCGAGGGTTGGAGGGATCCAGGCTCTAAAGAGACCACAACAGCCAGTAGTCCTCGACAAGGTAAGGCAATCCCAGTTCGCAGTTCGAAATCCCAGTTCACAGTCCCTGTCACAACACATACACACACACGCACACCCATCTCGAGTCCCGAGGCATTCTGCCATCCGTTGCAAAATGGTTCTGCGCATGCGCAGCAACATCCCATACTATACCCATCCCCTCCTCCAGGCCACTATCCTTCCCACTCCAGTCTTGGACCGAAAACGGAGGAGACCCTGTGGCAGCTGAAGTGCTCCAGAAGTGCGCAGAACTTGCGTCTGAGTCGGGCCAGACAAATGAGCAGCTAGCAGCAGGGCCGGGGATTACACTGGCAGAAAAGGGGGGTATGCATAGGTTAATATATAGGGGGGGACTACCAACAAGTACATGCATATTATGGCCAGTGTCCTGCTTTCCCGATCACGCTGTAGATTGCAGGCCAGCCAGAGGCTCAGTCTCCTCCCCCAACTCCGAGGTTAGTCTCCCACTTCTCTCCACCTTCACCATTCCTCACAGTTCCTCACGATCCAAGCCCTTCCTCCCCCTCCCCCTCCCCACTTGGAGCTCCACACAACCATCTCCCAAAATCTAAAGGTAGAAATATTAAGAAAAATATTGAAGCAGCCGCGAAAACCAAAACAAAAATCCAAAAGCAAACGACGTGACATCAACAAACACACACATGGACTGAGGTGTGTGTGGCTGTGTGTATCTCAGTATCTGTATCTCCACGTGTTTGTATCTTTGTGTGTCCGTACGAGTGTGTGTATTTACCTGTCCGACCGCGCGCGGTTTGTATGCAGGTAATTTACGCGGCAGCTACCGAAATACGCTGCCATACGTCCCTCCCTAAGTCCATTCTGTCCGTCCCAGTGTCCGTCTATCTGTCCGTCTGTCCGCGTCCGCGGCCAAGACCAAGTTGAGATTATTATCGCGCGCCAGAAACTGGCTGAAAGACTGTGAAAGAGACCGGGGCCAAAGAGAATAACTCGATTCGATTCGAGTCGAGTTGAGTTGATTCGAAAGACTTGGGGGCCCCCCGCCCCCACCGTCTCCAAAAGTCTCTAGAGTGTGCGAGAATGGGGACTGGGGACTACAGACTACGATGAACGTCATTTTGACAGCCAGCGAGCGGACAATGCAAACCACGTTCCACTTAAGCGAAACAACAACAACAATAAGAGCAATCCTTTGGCCACTTGGATAAACACTTGCCTCGCCATGGATATATATCCCAGCAGAGTAAAAAATAAAGCCAAGTCCAGACTATATCCTCCCTCTCTATATAAAATTTTTGTAGAATTTTTCTTCAAGTGCATTTGTGTGTATGTTTATTCGCACCAGGCAGACTTTAGGGCACTACCATGCTCTCCTCCTGCCCCTCCGGGGGTGAACTGCAGCCCCCACACCCTAACCCTACGCCTACCACGGACTGTCTCCGGCGTAGACTTTCCCTTTGGTGGGGCAAGGCAGGCAGGCAGGCAGTGGCTGTGGCTGTGGCAGGTATACAAAACGAGTTATCAGATTATTTGTTATTTACCTTGGTTCTTTGCTCACATTTTCAGATGTGGTTGTTGGTGTGGCTGTTATGCTTTTGAAGTAGTTCCAGAGCTCAGGTCTTGCATGCAAAGCGCGACAACCAACAACCAACAACACCAGCAACAACCAGAACCAAATCATATGCAACACTCCAGACCAGACCAGCACCGGAGGAGGAGGAGGAGATCTGGAGCGTCCTAAAAGTAAGACCAGTAGCCAAAGTTGTTATGTTATGTTTTTCTTTTTTTATTTTCTTGTTTGGTTTATTTTTTTTTTTTTTGGGTAGGCTGCAGGTCTTGACCCTCTTCCTGTCACCTAACCCCCCAACCCGCTGCAGACACACACGTACGTAATCATAATAACAATCTTCAGGTTCATCAAGTGGCAAGAAACGAGATGAGAAGTGCAGCAGCCGGGAAGGTGGAGACACCAATAAAAAATACAAAAAAAACAAAAGGAAGCACCAAATTAAATAATAACAAAAGACAGTAGCCACCTGAAGGGTAGGGTTAGGTAAGGTGTGGATCATAGACATAAAACAGAGAGAGTTTTAATTAAAAGAATATATTCCAAGTTTCCCAAGGAAGTGCATTTTAATTATTTTAAATAGTATCTTTCCTAACTATTTATTTCAGAAACAGAGTATCTTAAGGTTTAAACCTATGTCTTTTGGGTTAAAGCCACTAATATTTATGATTTATGAAAACAGATAATTAGTTTTTGTCGTTTTAGGTTCATGTTTCAGTTTCCAAGAGACGAGCTTTAAGGTCGTATCTCTGCAAAGATGATTTCTTGAGACGTTGCAGCTTAACGAACTTATTGTGGGGCATGATGTAGCAAGAAATTCAAATGGCTTTTTTGGGGGAACGCTCCAAACGCTCTGGACGCTCCTCTTCCTCTGCCAACACCTCCGGGCGAGGCCCTTTTTTTCCCGTTGCCACAGTCAGAGCCAGAAGTTGGCCACTCGAGTGAAGTTGACGCCTTCGTTGTTATTATGGGCACGTGACAACTGCGCCCACGGCCCAGAGCCCTGCCTGCCCACTCACTCACCTGGCAGGTACACACACCAGAGGTGGAAATGGAAAAGGGTTGGGGCGGAGGCCACTGGCCAACACACTGATAAGTGGGCGTGGACAGAGTACTGAACCGTTTTAATTGCTCGAGCGAAAGGCAAGTCGAAATCCTAATTGTTTTCAAAATAATGATGGAAATTGTATTGACTATCTCTCAGATACTTTTCCACTAGTGCTGGCTAAACTAGTTTCCGTTAAGATTTCCACACACAGATACCACAGAGTAGTAGATGCCCCACCTCTCGGATACCTGACCACTATCTTGGCCACTGTCTGGCGCTGGAAATGCGTAAGAAATTATACGAAGCTCCGACGCCAAGAAATAGAAAATCGCCGGAAGTCATTATACGAAAACTTGTTGTTATCGATTGGCTGGAAATCCATAGATATAGAGATATCGAAAGACCTCTGGGAATACTTTGTACAGGCGACAAAAGAAACCAATTTCCTTTAAACCTTAGAAGGTGTTGCCTAATTAAAAACAACAATGTATCTGAGGAAGTTAAGATTAATTCTATCATGCTGATTTTTGAATCATCTCTGAGGAGACTCTCTCATAATAGCCCATCTTGACCAATCTCGGTGGTTTCCGCTGGAAAGAGATCATCATCTTGGTGGTTATGAGTGGCCCACGACAAGGTCAGAATGCCGGAATGGAGAAAGGAGGAGAGTGGAGTCGTCTGGGTTACCACTACGAGCTTGGCACACAGCTGCAGCCTCAAATGGACCATATAACTTTCAGTCCAACTGTTGTTGCCAACGAAGCTGCCCCTGATGATGATGCTGCTGTTGCCATGTTGCTGCTAGCTAGCTGGTGTCTGTGGTTTAGCTTATAAGACTTCAACAGAAGGTAACAGAAGGCTTAACACACAGCGTAAGCTGAGATTTTTATTGACCACAGACTGGCAGCGAGAATCTTGGGGGAAAAAAAATCACAGAAATTGGTAAAGAGAAAGGGAGAGGTTGGGGCAGCCTCCAGAGCAGAAGAGGAGCCAGAAAGTAAGGCACGCACATGGCATATGGCCGGACAGACGCTGCACTTGTGCCCCAGCTTGGCAACAGCTGCTCCAACAATCTCAGCGAGCTACAGGGCAACTTCCAAAGATGGCTTTAAAGTTGAAGACTAATGACTTTGCTTTAAAAAATTCTAAAAAAAAATCATTGAAAAAGATTTATTTTCCTATAAAATAAATATTAAATAGTATCTAATACCACAGTTCCTTTTAAGGACCTTTAACTGTACAGTACTCACCTCCCAGTGACTGAACATCAGTTGCGGACAGGCCAGGCCAGATGTCTGCTTGCGCATCTCCTGGGCAAAGTTGAACGATTCGATCACGGGCAGGAGACAGGTGACCGCGAAATTTCCACTGCCCTGGGTCAGATCCCCGGAGAGGATCTTGCCGTGCCTACGGCCAATTACCGCATACATTTTACCTGAAAATGGAGCCACAAGATATATTCTTTGATCAGCTGTTGGTCGTTAGCTAGAAATCGAATTGGAAACGGGGGGGAAAAAGGGAAACCTTCATCAACAATGGCCGCCTTTCAGTTGAAGTTCTTTCTTGTTAATGCTACTCATATATTATATACACATATATATATATATAGTAAGAGGTGTATGTATGTTTTTGTTGTTGTTGTTGTTGAAGCGTCTCAAGGTAACTCGTAAACAAATGAAATCTTATCGGGTTTGGCCCATAAAATTGGCGGGCTTTCTGCCGAACCTCGCGCGTTTTCGCTTGAACTTCCAAGCTGGAGATTGAAGATGGAGGAGACCCGTTTCCAGACCTCTCTTCAACTCTCTATATACTCTATAAGAAAGTGTTCTTAAGTTGGGATAGTAGAAGGGAATTGTTAAGGGAGTTCTTATTCAAAGAGTTCTTAAACTGAAACTAAAGGGTTCCTGAAATCAATAGCTTTTCTTGTGAAATCCTTAAATTATTTACTTAAATAAAGTATTTCGTTAGGGAAAAGAACTTAAGATATTACTTTCATAAAAAATTCAGAACATTTCTTTGAAAATTAAAGGTTTTAAAACAAAGACATAGAGGTAGGTTTTTAGAATCCATAAGCTCCCAAACCATATTGCTTTACCTCTTTACTTCTAAGGGGTTTCTTAAAGGACTGAAATAGATTTCTAAAGATACCTATAATTAAAACTATATCTTTTAATATAAGCCTGGAAGAGCATTTAAAGCCCCGATCATTTGCCAGGCTCAGTTTCCTTTCTGGCTAAACTCTTTTTCTTGATTTTTTGCTGTTTTTTATTCTGTTGTTCTTTTTTTTTGGCATGCGCTACGAGACCGAAGCCCAAACATGAAACCAAGGCAGCAAAGAGGGCAAAAACCGACCAAGAGGAGCAGGCCCAATGTAGCAGCACCAGGAGGAGCAGGAGGAGGAGGAGCTGGAGGCCCAAGCAGGAATTAGTTTCCGGTGCCGTAGTAAAAATGACAAAAACAAAATAACCAACTCCGGGCACCGTCAAGGCAGCAAAAACGTCCGAAAGGATGCAACGGAAGCGGCAAAGCCGTTTTGGCTTTTTTATATTTATTTATTTTTTTTTTTATTTAATTTTGTTTTCTCTTTAAGCCAAGCACGCGAGCCAGAGACACCTTGCTGTTGGGCTCTCACCCATACCACGCCGGATGCATCTCACAGATACCTCACGCACACTCACAGATACCAACCGGCAATGGATGCTGCAACCACCAGCGGGAAAGCAGCAAGAGCAGCAACAACAACAACACTTGCCCGAGAGCAGCAACAACATGTTCATTCATTCATATCCACAGTCTACCAAATACTCTCTTGCGGGCTCTCTTCCAGCTCTCTGTCGCCGTGAACGGTCATGCACAGAGAGAAATACTTATGTAATTAGAAATTTTTATTGTACTTTTTAGGTGATTAGGGTATTTAGTTTTAAGTTGGCTTAACTGGGTGTTATGAGAAATACTAATAAATAGAAAAATAATTTTAAATACAATTCGGAACTATCTGAGCATAATCAATTCAGAGCTAGATTTAGTATCTATAAATAAGAATAAAGAAAAATAATATTTTAATATAGAAAGGCTTGTCCCTAAAATAAGAAGCTTTGGTATAGAGAGTACAAAACTGTAGCATCTAACTTTTTTTTTTAGTTTTTCTTTGGAATTTTTTCTTCAAATATCTCCATAGTAAATTGACTAATCAATTTAAAAACACTAAGTTTTTAAAATCCATAAAAAAGAATAGAAGATAGAGACCTTTTATTTCATAAATATTAATTTTCAAAAAACTAAAACCTTGAGAGTGTAAAAATAAACTCACTTCTTCAGTAATAAAGTTTCATCTTTCATCTTATCTTTATAATTATACCTAAAATTTGGAATTTCTAGAATCTAGATTGATTATTCCTAGAAGTATATAATTTAGATTTCATCTTAGAGACTTAACTATTAATATATTTTGTATAAACTATAATATATTTTGTATTTTTGTAAAGAAGTGTGTGTCTAACTTATCATAACAATATCTATGTAAGCACCTATTTTAATTTAATGAAAATATTATATCTCAAATGATTCAATACAGATCATGCGCTTGCTTGTTGTCTCTGAAGAATTTACTCCCTAGTTCTTAATAATTTCTAGAATCCCACCGAATCAAGCACGTCGTTGCTTGCAGTGTAGAATCGCGGAGCAGCGCTGCCTCGTCGTCGGCAGCAGACACTCACTCTCGGCCGCGTTTCGTTTTTCTGTTTGATCAGATCGAAAAGTGAGTTGGTCGAGCGAACAACCAAACCGAACCGAACCGAACTGAACTGAACTGAGCCGTCAAGAACGAGGCAGGAAGCGAACAGAGAAGCCACCTCGATTCAGGAGCAAAAGACGAGGATTACAGACACTGAGATACACGACGCGCGGGTGTAAAGTTACAAGAAATCCATTATAAATATCAAGTGTGATTCAGAAAAAAAAAAAAGAATACAAATTATTCGAGTGACATTTGCCACAAATCAATCGATCGATCGACTCGATCAGATTCGATTTGAAACCTGATTTGTTGTGTTTGTGTTTGTGTGTAATTTCGATGATGCTGAGCCATGGGTTCTGAGCGTGCCAGCAAGCTACTAGAGCTGGAGCGAGAACACTGATTCGAATTCAATTACAAATTTTCATTGAGTGTCAATTACAACCACAAGACAGACACAGAAAACATCACATACGCACGAATCTCGATCGATCGATTCTAGCCAGTCAGCTAGCCTGTTAGCCTGTTAGCCATAGAGCCATAAATCATGCCTTCGACATTGATGTTGCTGCCGTGCAGCGTGTTACTGCTGGTGCTGGTGCTGCCTCTGACGACCACTGTCGGCGGCACGCGACTGCCCCTCGAGGTGTTCGAGATCACGCCGACCAGCACGGCGGAGAAGCACAAGACCCTGGAGTACACCGTCATCGATGCCAAAGATGTTGCAGCAGCCGGTGCAGCGACAGGAGGAGCCACTGTTGCATCAACCTCCAGCAGCAGTAGTAGCAGTAGCAGTAGTACAGTGAAACCCACGCCGGAGCAACTGACTGTGGTCAGCATCTCTACGGCGGATCAGGAACAGGAGCTACTGGCCGAGTCGCGACGACGTGCTCGCCAAATGTTGCAGAAACAGCAGCAACATCGCAGCAGCAACAAGCACGGACGCGGCGACAAGGATGTGCGCATCCTCTACCAAGTGGGGGTGAGTAGAAAGTCTAATTCTCCAATTCTTCCAATTCTTCTAGAATAAGTCAATTGTCATAGGAAGGCAATTAATGGAACTGGCTAATTACCAGTGCTGATCGTGCAACATGTTTGTATTGATCTATGCAAAAACAACAACAACAACAAACAACTGGCAATGGCAGGTTGCATAATTCAGGCAACAACGTCAGCAGACACCTGCTCAACTGGTTGCCATTTGTAAGTTGCCCACGCCAACAGCAACAACAACAACAACAAAAACAAGCCACATCTATAAGATAGCAGGTTTTGCAATGCAACTTTTTTTGGGCTGGGTCCGAATCTATCTCTCTCTATAGACTCTCTCTATCTCTGTCTAAAAAGTAACTCCGCCTCGGGGCACCTCTATATTTAGCAGCCGCCCTATAGCCATTACACTTGACACCCACCAAAGCCAGTATCACGCATATGGCACATTTAATTGCAACACCAACAAGCAACACTCGGTCTCTAGATGAAAAATGAAAGTTGTTTGCAGCCCAGGCCCCTGGAAAGATCTGTCGCATTCGATCAATTAAAGTCGGCTTCTCGGCAATTGCGTTACTCGAACGATGCCAAACCAAACCAATTAGCCGGCCAGGTCAAGAGTTCAATGCTGACTAAGCCCAACTAAGCCGAAAGCCAAAAAAAAAGTTGACAAGTGCCGATCTTAGATCAGATACATATATAGAGTATTCTGTATCTATCAGATCGTATTTTAGATTTCATGGAAATCCATTACAATGCGAATTCTGGTCATAGGTCAAGTCGCAGCCCATTGTTTCCACACCCGGAACGGAAAGAGCAGTCTATGACATATATCATGTCTATCATGCCATCGGAAATCTATTATGTCAAATGTCATATGAGAGAAACACGCCCTGAAAATCGAATTCTGAAAGTATTATAGGTGTTGGTTGCTGGGACGAGGCCGAGGCGTGAAATATCCATAGTAATCAAAAGCAAAATATTGACAATATAAACAAGTAAGAATCGAGGTTACGAGGTTGAGTAATACGACTAGGGAATACCCTGAGAAGAGTTGGATAAGCACTAGTTGGATAAGGATTGGAAGACTTATAATTAAGGGATTTAATTATAGTTACTTTAGTTTCTTACAAAGTTATTCAAGTTCATATAAACTCTTAGAATTCTTAGGGATATGGATAACTAGGGAATATCCTGAGATGAGTTGAGGGATCTTTCAGATAAACTATATACATAAAGATTGAAAGAATCACTTTTAAAGATTTCAGTTTAAATCCTTATATGCATATCCCCAAAGTTCCTCGCAAAGTTCTTCAAGTTCTTACAATCTTTAGACTTCTTAGGGATATGGGGAACTCCAGAATACCTTAAGAAGAGTTAAAGAATCTTTCCGATCTTTAAGATTTCTCTTAAGATAAATATTTGAATGAATTAAAGGATTAGTTTCTATAGTCCATCGACATGGTTCTTCAAGATCTTACAATCTTTAGACTTCTTAGAGATATAGGGAACTAGAGAACACCCTGAAAGGAATTGAGGAATCTTTCAGATACAACTTTTAGATCCTTTAGATTACTCTTAAGATAAAGACTTGCAAGAAATCAAAGAATTAGTTTCTATATCTTCTCGCAAAAAGTTAAAGTTCTTACAAAATTTAGACCTCTTACTCATTTACCCTTTAACCATCTTTTAAGCCCCAAACCCCTAACGATCTTTCCCGACTTGGGCCCATAAATTTCAAAAACCCCAATGGCTGCAATAAATTTGGAACGCATATAAAAAACATCAAAAAAAAAAAGCATAACAAAACAACATCACAACACAACACCTAAAATAGACAAAAACACACACAGAACCGAGAATCGGGCATAGAATTCCTGTTGTTTGGAAACTTGCAATAAAAAAAACGCCTTATTGGTGAATAGATCCGAGCGGAATAGATCCACAAAAGACCATGGGGAAAAGAGCAGTTAGAGAGAGAGGGCCTATCAATGACTGAGAGAGATGGATGGAGGAAGAAGGCCGTCCGGGAGAAGGGAAGGTGGAAGAAAAGTTGATGGAAGAAAACAAAAAGTTCCCATGCTTAAAAGCGCTAAACATTCAGTTCCGGTATTTAAAAACGTTTTCAACAACAACACTCGGAGAGGGAGATGGCGCGAGGAATGGTGAAAGAGATGGGGGGAATACAAATAGGGGGGGGGAGGGTTGGGGGAAGGCCTGGGCCTAAAGCTGAATGAAAGAAAATTCATGAATGAAATACGACCACGACCACGACGACGTCGACGACGACGACAAAGTCGATGATGATGATGATGGTCTGAAGAAGGGGGGTTTTGGGAGGGTGAGCTCTACATACACACACCCATGGGTGTAAGAGTGTATGAGTGTACGGGTGTATGAGTATGGGTCTTCCGACTAAATGAATGAATGAATGAATGAAAACGTAAACGCTGGATGAGCAGCGAACGCTACGTCAGCGACTTGGACTTGTCGCTTGGCTGGGCAAGTCAATCTATGAATGAATGCCAAAGCGACAGACCGTCCAAATGAATGAATGAATGAATGGCCAACAGAGCCAACAACAAACAGTCTATATGGCCTTAAACAAACAAATCAGCCACGCATATTTGGTGCAAGTAAGCGTGGCAAGACCAAAATTTAAAAAAACCAATCTTTCAGATCCACCAAAAAAAAAAACGAACCATCTTAGGTGTGAAAATACTCCAAACTGGGCATCCAACACGGCGTATACTTGATGCCAAAATCTTGCAATAAATATTTATGAATTTATGCATAAATCCAACGTCTTGCCGGCCACACCCCTAATGGTTGTTTATGGAACTTTTATGCTAATTAGTACATCCGATATCCCCCCAATGATTTGACAAGTTTTTGTTAATCCGATCCCCGAACTAGTTTCTCGAGCGTTGATCTGCTTTTTTGGCTAATTTATGCTCATGGGGGTTATGGTTTCACAGAAACAGAAACCATCAATGGAGCATCCGTTTCTTAATGAACGATTGATCAGATTCTAGTGAATGAATTTCTATCAGAACAAGCATCGATTTTCCCAAGAATCCTCCAATTAAAGTCTGATTGGATCTAGATTCTCCTTTTGTAATTATTTAAATAATAATCGAAAATTTTAATCCGATTTCGCATATCATGTTTTCATAATTTTCAATCTATGCTCTATGTCTGGAATGGAATTTTTTTTAATGCTAAATATAGAAATTATTCAATGCGATTCAAGGTAAATAAATAAATAAAATAATCATAAAGAAGCAAAAAAAAAAAAAAAAACCAACAAACAAACAAATATTTAAAGAGAGTAGTAGACAGACAGACGGTGGCCAACAACAATGGCTATATATCGGTTAAGTGTGTCTGGATCTGGATGCCACAGACTCTCAGATAGGCCCATACATTTATGAAAATATTTGCATAAAAAAAAACAACAAGCAACCGCCAACAGCATACCGCAATTATTCACCTAAAAAAAAAATATATATATATATAAAAAAAAATGTGCTCAGGTCTACAATCTTAGAGAGCTTGGAGCTCCATTGAGAAAAATGCCTGAAAGCGGCCAGCAGCAGCCACAACGGATGCTCGGATACCAAAAAACTAGTTTGCCCACTTTTCTTCCCCCTCTCGACCTCTTCTACAACATCCATATATACTTTGTAGCCGAGGCGCGCGCCAAGTCAACTTTTATGGATAAAATATATATATATACATATATATATTCTTATATATGAATTAAAAAGCCATAAGCTAGTCAGAGCCAAGACGAGTCTTGGGTACTCTTACCCCCCAGTAGTTCTAGTTTTGGACATTTTCTCTAATGCTCTGGTCGGAAATGTGACTTGGAATACTTCCGCTTTTGGGCCAAGTTGGCCAAGAAAGAGAGACCTTGTTACAGTTATGGACGGACACGTTCCAATTTCCTATTCGAGGGGCTGCTTAGGGGGGTATGGAATCGGTATGGAACTCTATTCTGATCGTGTATACTATAAGTGTGCTAATTACGTGACCAAAGGCGCAATTTGTTTACAATAATAACACAAACGCAACACAAACAACAAAAAACCTGAAAAAAATAGAAAAATAAATTAACCATAAATAAGCACAAAAAGCCAACAACAACGAATGTTGTTCTTGGTTGGTGGTGCTGTGGTGCTATGTGGTGGCTATGTGGTGTTGTTGCTCCTCTTCTACGGCCGTTGTATTTCATTCATAAAAACGCTCGAGTAAACAACAACTGCGGCAGAGGAAGCCAGGGGTTGGGGTATGGGGCGTGGCAGAGCAACTTGCTCGTAATTAACTCAACAACAACAACAAAAAGAAAAGAAAAAAAACGATAAAAAACAAGCAAAAACCGTTGCAAGCGTTTTGGTGGCGTTTTGCGCGCGTTTTTGCAACTGCAACTGCAACACCAAAAGCCTGTTTACCACCACCAAGCGGGGCAACTTTTCATTTAGCTAGAGCTAGCCATTCATTCATTCATAAAAATATCCAGTCAGAGTCGGCATTGTAATCGAGATTTATTTATTTGGCGGCAAGCGCGTAAAAGGAGACAACTGCAACGGCCACTGCAACTGCAACTGCAACAGCAGCAACATGTTTATAGCCCCGCCATATAGTCGGCAACATTTTGGCCAAAGCAACAATTATATAGCCAAGAAAGCCGCAAAAGCAGCAAAACAAGCCACAAACAACTATGCCACGTTGTTGCTGAATGAACCAAGAAAAGCCTGAAGACTGAATGAATGAATGAATTACTTTTTTCCGTTCCGTTGTGGCAGCAACAGCAGCAGCAACAGCAGCTGAGAGTGATTGTGGTTTGGGGGATATGTAAGGTTGAGGATGTGGATGTGGTTAGTCAGTCCATACCCGTGTGCGTAGAGACGTTCATTAATTGTGACGATCAACAAGCTACGCAAAAATCATCCAACCAACAAGGGGAAGTTGTTGTTGGTTGCTGCTTCAGCTGCAATTGGTGGCTGCCCCACCAGAGAAACCAGTTTCCCAGCAATACCCTATACAATCCTTGAAAGCCTCAAGGGTATTTAAGAATTAAGAGTAGATTGGTAAAGGAGTTGACTAAACTAAAATATAGAAATATTTAACTCACTTATGAGTATGAATAGTCCTACTTGCAACTCACTTTTAGTATCTCTTAGATAGAGTATCTCACCTTCGACTTATGCCCCTTAAAAGCTGACATTCTTATAATTTTTGTGCTGTTGTCTGTTGGCTTTTGCCTGCTTCCTTTTGGAATTTCTGCTGTTTTATGAATGAAAATGTTTTTTCTTTGCTTGTTTGCGGTTGGGGCATGCTTCCGTTAAGGCAAATCCACCAACAGAAAAAATATACACACTTATATAAATATATATAGATAGAAGAAGAGGCAAGCAAAAGTGGCACGGTCAGTCTGCGTGCCTGGGGCCATTCTATGCAAAGTATACAAATTATTATAAATATTTTTTTTCTGATTTTCTGAGGAGGAGCCGGCTCACAAATCTCTTTTCTACTTCCGGCCCAGCTCAGCCCGAAGAGTTGGAGAGTTTTCACTGGAATTTTCTGTGGGACTGGTAGTGACCTAACAACTTCCGTGTTACTTCCGCAGCAGATTCTTCTTCCACTTCCGTTTCTAACGATTTTAATTGAATTTTCGTGTAAACACCAAGTGGAAGGAAGGCAATCATATCGGTGGCCAGACTTGACCAGACTCTGGGAGAGATTTAAAGCCGATGCTGGTGATGCTGGGACGGCATACTTCCGCCACATGACGACGCCAGATTGCATAATTCCCTATAGCCCCGAAAAAAAGTAAGAATAACCCAGAGTCTGGGGTGGGGGAAGGGGAAGAACAACAACAGCCGGGCAGGGGAGAAAAACAGAAAAAAAAAAAACAATGTGAAAAGGAAATGTATAGAAAAATCATTAACGCACAGACAAAAGATAACAGCCAGCGGACAGGGATCGGATATATCATGGAGTAGACGACGACTCTACCTGATGGTCCAACACACTTGTGCCAGGCGGCAGCCTGATGCCAGCCGTTCGTCCGTCTGTACGCATGTCCGCCTGTAACGGTTGGAAAATCTCATCTCTTCTGGCCCGGACGTGTGTGCGTCAACGCCCTCATGGGAACCTCAGAAAGGAAAACCTATAAGATGGGATAAGGGAGACACGCACAACCAACTGTTGCTCCGCAACTCAGACATCTTCCGTTTGTTGTTGTTCTTGTTGTTGTTGTTGTGTGGAAATTTATGTCACCGATTGTCCTTTGGGTTGGGTTGGGATGCTGTTATTGATAGCCGGAGCAGGTGGCTAGATGGCAACTTGTTCCATTGGCTTTACAAAATTTCAGGCTCCTCTTTGGCGAATCCTAGAATGGAAGTGCTACTCATGCTACTCCAAGTGTATTCCAAGAATGCCTCCCCACAGGCCACTTTCTGGGGGTGCTCCATGGGGTTAATTCAATTCAATTAAAGAGATGGCATGGAAGAAGGGCGACCTATCTCCCCAATTTCTTCTCGGGCGGCGATTTCCATTGAAATCAAAAGTCACAAAAGTTCGTCATTGCTTGCCGCCTCACGTTGCACGTCCAGCTGGTGTAAAAACTAGGGGGCTCTGGAGGCAGAGGTCTGGGGGCTGGGGTATGGGGGCTAGGGTCTGGGAGGGAGAAAAACTCTTTCATTGTCTTTGGCGCGTTCTCAACTTCCGCTGGCACTGCACTTTGACACATGAGGCTAATTGTTTGACCGAAAAGAGGAGAGCCACGCGTGCTGTTGATGGAGATCGAGCAAATTATAAAGTGTGGCAGCAACAGCTTTTGCCCCCACTCCCCTCCCCAAAAAAAAAACTCTCCTCTTTCTTTGGGGAGCTGTTAAACCGGAAATCCGGTTGCCTTCTCTCCCTCTTCGGTGTGTTTGTTTGTTTTCTTATTTTTTTTTCGTGTTGGTCTGGCAAAACTTTTACTGCTCTTCCAGCTTCTACGCCACAAATAAGAAACTTTCGTGGTGTTTATGCGTTCGTTCTACTTCTACAGAGAGAGAAATAAGTGGGGTTTTCATATACAATTTAGTCTTGATCCCTTAGAAGCCTTTACTTTACTCAGGAAGGAAAGTAGACAAGTCAAAGACAAGGGTTCATTAGGGTTGTTGCTCAAAAAAGGAAATAAATATTGAATGGCTCTATTCAAGATATTAAAAGTATAGAAATTTTAAAGAATACAGTACATTTTTGGTAATTTTTTAATTTTTTTGGAAAGATATAGGAAAAATGTTAAAAGAAATGAAGACCAAAGTATGATGTTTGGTTATAGTATGCATTTATAATGCATTGTACCATTGTCATTGCTAGAGCACAAGTTCGAAACTTAAAAGAACAATTTTTTTATCTTTAAACATTTTTTTAAGAAAAAAGATTAGTCATTTTGGGGTCTAAGAAACTAATCCTGAAGGTTGTTATTTTCAAAATCCATTATATAGAGTATCTTTAAAACAAGGCTCATATTTGGGAGTATAATCATGCTTCGTTTCACTGTATAAGCTACAGTAAAGGTTAAAAATTCCATAAAAAATACTTTTCTAATATTTTCCATATTAAAACGAAATTTTAAAAAGGAGGTATCAGGATCCTTTCAAGTAAAGAAACTATTCAAAAAGAGTTGTAATATTGATATTTTTTTCAATGTTCCACTACAAAATCTAGTTTTTTTTTTCATAACTAACCCCCTTTAGCAGCATATTTCTCTCGGTGTAGCTATTGTCAGCCAAGCTGAGATGAGCTGATGCCATTGGAATGCCGTTGAAGCATGTCTTCTTTGATAGTCTAGCCCCTCACCCTGAATGCCCCTCCCTCCCGGCGGCTTCCCCGATTTGCTTATCAATATGTAAAATTTCATTCGTATAACGGTGATGTCTTTGAAGTGCCATTTCCCGACACAACAACAACAAAAACCAACAAAAACAAAAAATGCAGAGGTAGAGTCTCAAGAACTGGCAACTGAAGGGGAAGAAATCTCAATAAACATGCTCGAATTTCAAAGAATTTCTCACGCTGCTTTACTCAAGACGTAGAGCTACCGCCCGGGGGTCCTTGGGCCACCGGTTCAACCAACTCCACTCCACTCGGAGCATATCCTGCCAGGGGTGGATTGACAATGGCTTCGGCAGTGGAATCTCAGCAATGCTCCTCGAAGCTCCTCCATGAAATATGAATAATCAAAGTGAAGAAACAAATCAGAGCTCGACAAAAAAAAAGGGTTAAGGACATCCTCGGGCAGGTGTGTGTGTGCAGCTCGGAAACTAGGTCAAAAATGCGTGGGAATCCCGACGACGGAAGGAAGCTGACGAGGCATTATAAAAAATGAAAAAAAAAATAAAAGAAATCAGGAAGTAAATAAAACTAATAAAGACCAGATATACGGAAGGAAGGCAGACGACTTCCGGAGTAGGAGAATTTTCATAGAGAGCTCATGCTGCTCATGGGCTCAATTGAGCAGAAAGGTAAAAGGTCAGGCAACCTGTTCCGGATTCACTTCCGGTTCTCTCCTCCTTCTCCTCCTCCTCCTCTTTCAAACACCACTCCGGCTAATCCCTTTTCAATACTCTGTGTGTGTGTTTGTGTGTGTGAGCACTTACTTGTTTACTTCCGTCAGTTGCACTAAATCACTTCCGGACTTCCGGTTTGCAGGCATCTCTCGCCTCAAACCCAAACCCCAACTGGAAGGTAAACCCAAAGAATTGACCCTAAACTCACAATCAGCTCAGGTAGCAGCAGGTGCAAGCCCGAAGCCAAAAAAAAAAATAATTTGAATAAAAATCAAAAAAAAGAAGACTCTGGAATGAAATTGAAACCAAACAAAAGGCAGAAACCCTCAAAAAAAAGGGATCATGGACTACCAAAAAAATAAAATAAAATAAACTAAGCGAAGAGCGAGAAAAACAAGGTGCGCGACAGTTCCACTTAAAAAATTGATTGCTTTCGATAATTTCATTGGAAACCTGTTGTTGTTATAGTGTCTCCTTTACATCGACATCGAGAGTCACTAACAATAAAATCGAATGATAAAAGGAATCAGGCCCTGGAGTGGCATCCTGGCATCCTTGGCATCCTCGCCAAGCACACATCGCTTTTTATGTTACGGCCGAAAAGGCTGGGACACAATACATAAGTTTTTATTGGCCAGGACTTTGGTAAACAGTCCAACTTTTGGGACACTGTTTAGAGAATTCAATTAATGAAATGTATTTGTATATAGTGTCTACTCTTTCAACAACAAAGCAAAGATATCCTTGTGGTCCTTGTAGTTATGTTAATCAAGTCTGTTGACTCAGGAGACCAAGGCCCTCAAGTTAGTTTCAAAGTTTGCCTTTATTGTTATAGTCCTTGGATGGAAATGAATCGCATAATCACAGGATATTCTCAGATTATAAAAATATATATATATATTATGGCTGTCTTTATTAAAATCCTCCTTTCTGTTTCAGGATTCAGAGGAGGACCTGCCCATCTGCGCCCCAAATGCCGTTTGCTCCAAGATCGACTTGTACGAGACTCCCTGGATTGAGCGCCAGTGCCGATGCCCCGAGTCGAACCGCATGCCCAACAACGTGATCATCCATCATCACAGCCATTCTTTGGGATCTGGAGACTCCCCGAAGTACAGGAACTACTTCGAGAGGGAGAAACTGCTGCAGCACAAGCGACTGCTGTTCGGCGAGTTCCAAGACAAGAAATTCGAGAGCCTGCACCTCAAGAAGCTGATGCAGAAGCTGGGCGCTGTCTACGAGGACGACCTGGAGGATCATCTGGATCAGTCGCCGGACTACAACGACGCCGTGCCCTACGCGGAGGTGGAAAACAACGAGTTCCCTAGAGGAGGATCGACCCACATGCGCCACTCCGGGCATCGAGGCCTCAAAGAGTCCGCCGCGAGCTTCATCGGTGGCTGCCCCAGCAGCTTGGGTGTGGAGGATGGACACACCATAGCGGACAAGACCAGGCACTACAAGCTGTGCCAGCCAGTTCACAAGCTTCCAGTTTGCAAGTGAGTTGAAGACTTTATCCTTTTTCTGAGTTTGATTTTAATCAGAATATGTCCTTCCAATCCAGACACTTCCGCGACTATACCTGGACCTTGACCACGGCAGCCGAGTCGAATGTCACCGAGCAGGTTGTCCACTGCCGGTGTCCAAGGAACTCGGTCACCTATCTGACCAAGAGGGAGGCCATCGGGGACGGCAGTCAGGGCTTCAGATACCTCTTTGCCTGCTCTCCAGTGACGGTGAGTTTACAAAAAGGATACTTTGTGCGAGAGGTTCTCCTTACTTATATTTATTTTTTTCAAATAGCGCCTTCGCTGTCAGCGCAAGCAGCCTTGCAAATTGTTTACGGTCCGCAAGCGCCAGGAGTTCCTGGACGAGGTCAACATCAATGCACTGTGCCAGTGCCCCAAAGGACATCGCTGTCCCAGCCACCATACGCAGTCCGGAGTGCTGGCCGGCGAGAGCTTCCTGGAGGACAACATACAGACGTACTCCGGCTACTGCATGGCCAACGATTGAGGAGGAGGAGTCCTTTGGCAGGGAAACTCTATTGGATCATTCCACACCAACACACCCATTGTAAAGGAGGAAAGCGGGGAGCAGCTACTATATAGATATATCGACTGAGCCAATTGAGTCTCGCCAAGTTAACAATTTAAACAAAAAAATAAAAATATGAGAGAAGAGAAGAGAAGCATAACGAACATCTTAAGAATAGAAGCCCAGAACTAAAGTGCACTTCGACAGAAATATTTCCAAATGCGTTGAGAATGTGTAGAGTTTTAAAATGTTTGCTACCAAATTTTGGTCATAAAACGTATGATATAAATATTTAATTAGTTTTAAGCATCGATATATGCGCAGCTTGTTATACAAATAATTTGTAATGAATATTTATGAATGAAGCACAAGAGCAACCAACACATGCAGGAGAGGAGCTGAGACTCTCCTCAGATGTAATATAGCAACAAACTATACTCGTAATCTAAACCGCATAACTTGTATATATTTTATGACTATAATGTATGACTAAAACCTAAATATTAAACCGAATACTTACATAGAGAAACTCAGCAAAACGTCAAAGATCCCTATGGGTGTGCCAAATGCAGGGTGTAGAGGGTGCAGTGCAGTTCAGTTACCATAAGGACACTATACTATACTATATATCATTGAATAATTCATAGCTTGAGCACGGGACGAGGGCAGTTCGAAACTGTGCCAACTGTGGCCACCCTGGCAGCTGTTTAGTGCAATTTTTAATCGGGTTTCTAGGGGATTGCACAAAGCTTTCTTAACTCCCAAATATTATCATGTATGGTGAAATATTCCCTCTCCTCCAAAACACACACATAATAATGGCATCATAAAATACATACGTACTCCTCCCTTTCCCAATTATCCAACTATTATTGTAAATCGATGTAAGCTTCTGAATTTTGTATATTTTTAAAAGCGACAGAGCAACGAAATTGAACGACGATTCTGTTCAGGACATTTGTAAAAAGGCAAAGAATAAACTTTTATTTATGAAAAAAAATTAAGGGGTTTTTAATTATTAAATAAATTAGTAATATTTTAAGAGGTGGATAAGGGGTTTGATCTTAAATGATGAGTTAAGGTTTAAGTTTTAGGCATTTCCAACAAAACTTCACTCCTAAAAGATAGTTTAGATATGAAAACCTTACAAAGCTACCGAGTCAAGTAATTTACTTTTATTTATAAAAAAATAATATATATAATCGTTTTTATTATTACGATGATTAATTGGATAATTTTCAACTCTACCTTAGAGTATTAATTTATTTATTTTAGATGCAAGCTTAGTTTTAAGTCTAAGACTAATAAACAAGGTATACAATACTAGCTGCTAGGGGGCCTTTGATTAAAATTATTATTCTAGAATCTAGAGCCTAGAGAGAGATCACGAAAGAGACTTAGTCCTAAGACCCTAAGAGTCTAGAATGGGGTATTACTAAGAGCAGTTTTCAGCAAAACTCAAAGTATTTATTTTTCCTCACTCCTAAAAGAGAATTTTTCATTGCATACCTAATAGGAGTAATAGCAACAAACAAAATGTAGCCTATTCTTAGGCTTAGAATTGAAAAGACCTAAGCTATAAGAAATGTAGAAAGAAGTAAAGTTCATTTATGAACAAAAACACCATTATAAACTAAAGAAAAATAATAGAAAATAATGAAATTATATCTCATTATTTTTTATCCAATGCTAGTGAAATAAAATAAATAAATATTCCTCACTAAGACCTTAAGAATCTTTCACTCAAAAACACCACCAAATCAAAATGTAAATACCAAAATCAGTGAAAAGAAAAAAAACCAATTATAAAGCCATAAAATTACATTTCATGCTAATAGCCGACAATCATAGAACTCGGAGTTTCCAGCTTTAATTCTTAAACCAAATTGGCAGATGCCTCTGTGTGGAAATTATTGAAGCACGGCCAGTGCTTCCTCTACGAACTCTGCTCAACCAAAAACAATTAAAATCCATCCAGAGTGGCCGCAGAAGCCACTCGGAAGAAGTCGGGGCCTAAACAGCTGAAAATGCAAATCATTGGACCAATGTTGATTAGAAAGCAGCTGAGCGATGGCCGCTAAGAAGTCAAGACCCCCTCCGTCCTCTGTCCACCTAATATAATTAAATAAATACCTTGTAAAGCCTCAAGCCTGGCCACAAATTCAATTACCAGCCAGAAATCCATAAAAACCAGAGCAACAAAAAATTATCAGGAATTATGGCAACTTTTCCACAGAAAGATTAAGGTGTAAAAAATATACATAGAGTGCGACGAGTCAAGTAAATCATAAAAAACACTCTCTCACAAAAAGATGAGTACTTTTTTTATGGCCTGTTACCGGAAGAAGTCCCAGCTGGATAGGCTAGGAGAAAGACCATTCCGAGGCTTCGGCGAATGCATAAAGAGGATTTATATTAAACATTGAAGATTTTTAAAATCGTTTAGTGTGCCAACTAATTAGCCAAAGATGTGCTCAGCCCGAGATCATGGCCTCGAGAAAAGCCCCGGGGTAGCTGTATAGTAGAAGACCCATGAAAACAGACAGAATGGGCACATCCAGAAGACAGTTTATAGCATTAGCTTTTCGAACAAGACCCAGCTAAGAATGTACCAAGTAACCAACATCTGCACCCAAGCCACACTTAGACACTCAGACAGACACTTAAAACTTTAATTAGAGTTTAAGGAGCCCGGTACATTTTTCATTAGGCTGGGGTATGAAATTCACTCACTTTTGGCCAACAGACGCCAACAGCCGACGACGACGACACCGAAATTGCCAACAGTTAGTAGCAAAGAACGAAGAGAAAATAATTCATTGTCGCCCATACCTTCATGTCGTCCTCAATCTGGAAAGTCGGTGTTTTTCAGCTCAACATGGGATAGTTGTCCCCAGAAGCTCTGTTTCATGGCCCAGTAAAAGTGCCATCAGAGATGGTAGAAAGTAAGTGCTCTATAAAGGGATAGTACCGATTCTTCCAACCAAACTTGAATGATGAATTATTTGAAAAATGCATTCTACAGATTAGATTCTTCTGAGTTGAAGCTTTACCATCCATCCATCAAAGACATTCCTTAGTAATTATTATTTTGGCGAAAGTTGACTTGGCTACTGTTGGTTGCACAGATGCCGTCAATAACTAATTATTTCCACTCATCTTTCAGCAACAAAAAAATAAATAAAAAACCAAACCTATCAGGAGGGAAAAAGAATAGCTGTTAAGGTGTCTGCATTTACGATATTTATGAGCCATCATCGTCCATGACTCTCCAACACCCCCGGCACACAAAAAAGGCAGACCAAAGCCAGAGCTACTGACCAGATCCCGCCTGGCCACATATTGATTGATTGGCTTTGATTATCGAGCGGACAGCCGCTGGCTGAGATTTGCATGCCAAAAGCAACACAGGGAGACTCCGATATTGGTTGCAGGGTTTCGCGTTATTGGCCCTCAGATTTATATGCATCATTAGAAAATGCCAGGCTACTCATGCTTTACAACTTTCTTTCGCATCATTAAAATTAACAACAACAAATTAGAGAGAAAAAAACAAAGCCAAGAACTGTCCACAAAAACATATACAATGTTGCATGTCTTAAAGGGAAAAACTTATTAAGATAAAGATGCACTGAGAAAATTAAAAAGGGCTTTTAAGAACTGCTCTAAAAGCAGTATACCTAGTATTTTTTTCTTTAATAATTTTATTACTAAAGCTTAGTCTTTTAAGAATCTCGTTGGAAGTTCTCACTGTGCACAAAGAAATCAGTTTCGTGTCCGAAAAATTTCTTCATTTGCGGGTCACTAATTAGACGCGATTTGGTAGCTCGAACCCGACATGCAATATCCCCCCGACCAGGAGGAGGAAGTGGGCCAAGCCGAGGCCAGTGATAGGGCCCGGGTTGAGGGGGGGGCCTTTAAATGGCCAACATCTGCATAATTATGCGTTGTTGGTGGAAGGTGCTTATGCAGCTCAATGAATTTAATTGAGCAGCATTAAGCGTGGATGGGTTGGATACCCAAGATACCCAAGAGTCTCTTATCAATTGGGCCTGGGAGAAATGGAAAACAGTAGCCCTCTACCAGTCGACATCCAGCGAGAGCTTCTCCCATTCAGATATAATTATTCTTAATATATATCTTTAATGCGGTGGGTACTTTTTTTTTTCTTCCACCGTTTTTTCCGAGCCATACAGGAAGCTACGAAGATTTCACCTGTTAGGTCTTCTTTTTTTTTTTCTTTGGCTAGAAAGTGAAATTTTTCAGTGGGTTCAGTTGGGCTTTTATTTGTATTTGCTGGCTGTGAGATAATTCGAATGCGATAAGACATTAATCTATGCAATTAGAGCTGCAATTGCTTATTGATTTCCGATGGCATTTCGGCTCGACAATTTTCCGCTGCGATCTTAATGGCATTTTAATGGGAGCAGTGTCTGGAGATGGAGCTATCCATACAGGGTGAAAGTTTATCGATTTATTTTTTGGAAGCTGCCGAAGAAAAAACTTATGATATGCAAAAAAAAAACCAACAATGGCATTATATTTTGTTTTTAATGGCTAGCGAATCCAGACAATGCAATAAACTGCAACAATAAAGCAATAATAGTAACAATAACAATAACAATAATTGTAATAGCCAAAGTGCAGTGCCAAGTCATCTCATCGAATGCTCCAAAGACGCAAAAGATGCCGAGGTGCGGCCGCAAAACGAAAGCCGAAAGATACAAGATACAAATCATGCATTACAATGCCCCAAGAGAGGCATATGCATAGGCATAGGCATAGGCATAGAGCATTGAAATTGAAAGTGCGGCTGCTGCTGCATCTTGATGATTTTCTAATTACACAAAAGCCCAAGCTCAGCTCTGTGCGATGGCTCAAGTGCCAGGCCAGGCACCAGCCGAAAGGTGTTAAGTATGCAAATGACGAGCAGCTCGAGAGGATCTTGTCTCGACTCGAGTTAACATCTTGTAGCTGCCCCAGCCCCAGCAAGCCATTCGTGTTGTAATATTTACATTCAAACACATGATCTATGTGGGCGGGGTCAGTCAGCCCATAACCGAAAAAAATTCAACAAAAAATAAAAGAAAATACATCCCAAAAGCGAGCGGTAAAAGTCGCCAGCGATTTTGACCCCACAGACCCACAAAAGTCAAAGCTGCGCGCAGCAGATTCGCATCTTTCAGATACTTTTACATGTACTTTCTCTACTTAGACTCTAGCTCTGCCATCGCACAATTTTTCACCGATTTTAGCTTGTACAATTTTTTTTCTTCTTTTTTGCGGGAATGCGCCTTTTAGGCCGCGCCTAATCGAAATTTTCAAGCAAAAGCCTCGAGGAGGAGAAGGAGCAGCTCCCCAAGATCAGTGAAGATCAGTGGCAGCGACAACACTTTGATGTTGTAATTAACTTTCATTAGGCCACAGTCAAGATCCGAGTATACACAAAA